TATTGATTAATCAGCTGAGAGGCAGTGAGTGTTGGTATTGTGGGTGGTTGAGATGCTGTCTGTCGTCTGCTGGATTTATTGATCAGTCAGCTGAGAGGCAGTGAGTGTTGGTATTGTGGGTGGTTGGGATGCTGTCTTTGGTCTGCTGGATTTATTGATCAGTCAGCTGAGAGGCAGTGAGTGTTGGTATTGTGGGTGGTTGGGATGCTGTCTGTGGTCTGCTGGATTTATTGATCAATCAGCTGAGAGGCAGTGAGTGTTGGTATTGTGGGTGGTTGGGATGCTGTCTGTGGTCTGCTGGATTTATTGATTAATCAGCTGAAAGGCAGTGAGTGTTGGTATTGTGGGTGGTTGAGATGCTGTCTGTGGTCTGCTGGAATTATTGATCAGTCAGCTGAGAGGCAGTGAGTGTTGGTATTGTGGGTGGTTGGGATGCTGTCTGTGGTCTGCTGGATTTATTGATTAATCAGCTGAGAGGCAGTGAGTGTTGGTATTGTGGGTGGTTGAGATGCTGTCTGTCATCTGCTGGATTTATTGATTAATCAGCTGAGAGGCAGTGAGTGTTGGTATTGTGGGTGGTTGAGATGCTGTCTGTGGTCTGCTGGAATTATTGATTAATCAGCTGAGAGGCAGTGAGTGTTGGTATTGTGGGTGGTTGAGATGCTGTCTGTGGTCTGCTGGATTTATTGATTAATCAGCTGAGAGGCAGTGAGTGTTGGTATTGTGGGTGGTTGAGATGCTGTCTGTGGTCTGCTGGAATTATTGATTAATCAGCTGAGAGGCAGTGAGTGTTGGTATTGTGGGTGGTTGAGATGCTGTCTGTGGTCTGCTGGAATTATTGATTAATCAGCTGAGAGGCAGTGAGTGTTGGTATTGTGGGTGGTTGAGATGCTGTCTGTGGTCTGCTGGAATTATTGATTAATCAGCTGAGAGGCAGTGAGTGTTGGTATTGTGGGTGGTTGAGATGCTGTCTGTGGTCTGCTGGATTTATTGATTAATCAGCTGAGAGGCAGTGAGTGTTGGTATTGTGGGTGGTTGAGATGCTGTCTGTGGTCTGCTGGAATTATTGATCAGTCAGCTGAGAGGCAGTGAGTGTTGGTATTGTGGGTGGTTGGGATGCTGTCTGTGGTCTGCTGGAATTATTGATCAGTCAGCTGAGAGGCAGTGAGTGTTGGTATTGTGGGTGGTTGGGATGCTGTCTGTGGTCTGCTGGATTTATTGATTAATCAGCTGAGAGGCAGTGAGTGTTGGTATTGTGGGTGGTTGGGATGCTGTCTGTGGTCTGCTGGATTTATTGATTAATCAGCTGAGAGGCAGTGAGTGTTGGTATTGTGGGTGGTTGGGATGCTGTCTGTGGTCTGCTGGATTTATTGATTAATCAGCTGAGAGGCAGTGAGTGTTGGTATTGTGGGTGGTTGGGATGCTGTCTGTGGTCTGCTGGATTTATTGATTAATCAGCTGAGAGGCAGTGAGTGTTGGTATTGTGGATGGTTGGGATGCTGTCTGTGGTCTGCTGGATTTATTGATTAATCAGCTGAGAGGCAGTGAGTGTTGGTATTGTGGATGGTTGGGATGCTGTCTGTGGTCTGCTGGATTTATTGATTAATCAGCTGAGAGGCAGTGAGTGTTGGTATTGTGGATGGTTGGGATGCTGTCTGTGGTCTGCTGGATTTATTGATTAATCAGCTGAGAGGCAGTGAGTGTTGGTATTGTGGGTGGTTGGGATGCTGTCTGTGGTCTGCTGGATTTATTGTTTAATCAGCTGAGAGGCAGTGAGTGTTGGTATTGTGGGTGGTTGGGATGCTGTCTGTGGTCTGCTGGATTTATTGATTAATCAGCTGAGAGGCAGTGAGTGTTGGTATTGTGGGTGGTTGGGATGCTGTCTGTGGTCTGCTGGATTTATTGATTAATCAGCTGAGAGGCAGTGAGTGTTGGTATTGTGGGTGGTTGGGATGCTGTCTGTGGTCTGCTGGATTTATTGATTAATCAGCTGAGAGGCAGTGAGTGTTGGTATTGTGGGTGGTTGGGATGCTGTCTGTGGTCTGCTGGATTTATTGATTAATCAGCTGAGAGGCAGTGAGTGTTGGTATTGTGGATGGTTGAGATGCTGTCTGTGGTCTGCTGGATTTATTGATTAATCAGCTGAGAGGCAGTGAGTGTTGGTATTGTGGGTGGTTGGGATGCTGTCTGTGGTCTGCTGGATTTATTGATTAATCAGCTGAGAGGCAGTTGGTATTGGTATTGTGGGTGGTTGAGATGCTGTCTGTCATCTGCTGGATTTATTGATCAGTTAGCTGAGAGACAGTGAGTGTTGGTATTGTGGGTGGTTGAGATGCTGTCTGTCATCTGCTGGATTTATTGATCAGTCAGCTGAGAGGCAGTGAGTGTTGGTATTGTGGGTGGTTGAGATGCTGTCTGTCGTCTGCTGGAATTATTGATCAGTCAGCTGAGAGGCAGTAAGTGTTGGTATTGTGGGTGATTGAGATGCTGTCTGTCATCTGCTGGATTTATTGATCAGTCAGCTGAGAGACAGTGGGTGTTGGTATTGTGGGTGGTTGAGATGCTTTCTGTCATCTGCTGGATTTATTGATCAGTCAGCTGAGAGACAGTGAGTGTTGGTATTGTGGGTGGTTGAGATGCTGTCTGTCATCTGCTGGATTTATTGATCAGTCAGCTGAGAGGCAGTGAGTGTTGGTATTGTGGGTGGTTGAGATGCTGTCTGTCGTCTGCTGGAATTATTGATCAGTCAGCTGAGAGGCAGTAAGTGTTGGTATTGTGGGTGATTGAGATGCTGTCTGTCATCTGCTGGATTTATTGATCAGTCAGCTGAGAGACAGTGGGTGTTGGTATTGTGGGTGGTTGAGATGCTGTCTGTCATCTGCTGGATTTATTGATCAGTCAGCTGAGAGACAGTGGGTGTTGGTATTGTGGGTGGTTGAGATGCTGTCTGTCATCTGCTGGATTTATTGATCAGTCAGCTGAGAGGCAGTGAGTGTTGGTATTGTGGGTGGTTGAGATGCTGTCTGTCATCTGCTGGATTTATTGATCAGTCAGCTGAGAGACAGTGGGTGTTGGTATTGTGGGTGGTTGAGATGCTGTCTGTCATCTGCTGGATTTTTTGATCAGTCAGCTGAGAGACAGTGAGTGTTGGTATTGTGGGTGGTTGAGATGCTGTCTGTCATCTGCTGGATTTATTGATCAGTCAGCTGAGAGACAGTGGGTGTTGGTATTGTGGGTGGTTGAGATGCTGTCTGTCATCTGCTGGATTTATTGATCAGTCAGCTGAGAGACAGTGAGTGTTGGTATTGTGGGTGGTTGGGATGCTGTCTGTGGTCTGCTGGATTTATTGATCAGTTAGCTGAGAGGCAGTGGGTGTTGGTATTGTGGGTGGTTGAGATGCTGTCTGTCATCTGCTGGATTTATTGATCAGTCAGCTGAGAGACAGTGGGTGTTGGTATTGTGGGTGGTTGAGATGCTGTCTGTCATCTGCTGGATTTATTGATCAGTCAGCTGAGAGACAGTGGGTGTTGGTATTGTGGGTGGTTGAGATGCTTTCTGTCATCTGCTGGATTTATTGATCAGTCAGCTGAGAGACAGTGGGTGTTGGTATTGTGGGTGGTTGAGATGCTGTCTGTCATCTGCTGGATTTATTGATCAGTCAGCTGAGAGACAGTGAGTGTTGGTATTGTGGGTGGTTGAGATGCTGTCTGTCATCTGCTGGATTTATTGATCAGTCAGCTGAGAGACAGTGGGTGTTGGTATTGTGGGTGGTTGAGATGCTGTCTGTCATCTGCTGGATTTATTGATCAGTCAGCTGAGAGGCAGTGGGTGTTGGTATTGTGGGTGGTTGAGATGCTGTCTGTCATCTGCTGGATTTATTGATCAGTCAGCTGAGAGACAGTGGGTGTTGGTATTGTGGGTGGTTGAGATGCTGTCTGTCATCTGCTGGATTTATTGATCAGTCAGCTGAGAGGCAGTGAGTGTTGGTATTGTGGGTGGTTGAGATGCTGTCTGTCATCTGCTGGATTTATTGATCAGTCAGCTGAGAGGCAGTGAGTGTTGGTATTGTGGGTGGTTGAGACGCTGTCTGTCGTCTGCTGGATTTATTGATTAATCAGCTGAGAGGCAGTTGGTGTTGGTATTGTGGGTGGTTGAGATGCTGTCTGTCATCTGCTGGATTTATTGATCAGTCAGCTGAGAGACAGTGAGTGTTGGTATTGTGGGTGGTTGGGATGCTGTCTGTCATCTGCTGGATTTATTGATCAGTCAGCTGAGAGACAGTGAGTGTTGGTATTGTGGGTGGTTGAGATGCTGTCTGTGGTCTGCTGGATTTATTGATCAGTCAGCTGAGAGACAGCGAGTGTTGGTATTGTGGGTGGTTGGGATGCTGTCTGTGGTCTGCTGGATTTATTGATCAGTTAGCTGAGAGGCAGTGGGTGTTGGTATTGTGGGTGGTTGAGATGATGTCTGTCGTCTGCTGGATTTATTGATCAGTCAGCTGAGAGGCAGTGGGTGTTGGTATTGTGGGTGGTTGGGATGCTGTCTGTCATCTGCTGGATTTATTGATCAGTCAGCTGAGAGACAGTGAGTGTTGGTATTGTGGGTGGTTGAGATGCTGTCTGTCATCTGCTGGATTTATTGATCAGTCAGCTGAGAGACAGTGAGTGTTGGTATTGTGGGTGGTTGGGATGCTGTCTGTGGTCTGCTGGATTTATTGATCAGTCAGCTGAGAGGCAGTGAGTGTTGGTATTGTGGGTGGTTGAGATGCTGTCTGTGGTCTGCTGGATTTATTGATCAGTCAGCTGAGAGACAGTGAGTGTTGGTATTGTGGGTGGTTGGGATGCTGTCTGTGGTCTGCTGGATTTATTGATCAGTTAGCTGAGAGGCAGTGGGTGTTGGTATTGTGGGTGGTTGAGATGATGTCTGTCGTCTGCTGGATTTATTGATCAGTCAGCTGAGAGGCAGTGGGTGTTGGTATTGTGGGTGGTTGGGATGCTGTCTGTCGTCTGCTATACACGAGATGACCGCTACTGTCAGCCATGGTGTTAGTAGTGGAAGCTGAACAGATTTGTTTGATTATTATCTCAGTGTTTTACTTTTTACTGATCAAATTCCATCCAATAATTACTGGTGTTTTAACTGATATGATCCTCTGGATTCTTTAAGTTCTCTTAACCAAGCTGTAAAGATGAATACCAAAGCAGCTGCATGTAAGTTTACTTTTAAGTTTTATAATTTAGTAGCTATAGTGATGTTTAATATAATTTGTTCAGCAATCGGTCAGTAGTAATATTACCAACCATTCTTCTTAACATGCTATTTTTATAATTTGTGTTGACAAATCATTTACTGGCCAAAGCATCTCATAAGTATGTAGCTAAACCAAGCCTAGGTAATTGAGTAAACCCAAGTAATCCCACTTAAAACAATAATTCCAGTTCATAAGTTGAATTAGTACTGATGTAACTGATAGTTTTTATTTTTATTAATTTAACAAATAAAATGCTAAAATTATTTATTGGTCATTGGGGCTAAGCCCCGTATGCTATCAATGGGGGTGCAAGCTAAATTAGTGGTAGAGATCCTTTGGCCCTGAGGTCCCATGTTCAAATGTGTAAAATCATCAATGGATCTTATCTATATGTTAATTCATCGCCTCTAAGCTTAGTGTGAGGTAATGTGCAAAATAGTCAAAAGCCTAACATTCTACGATGTGATGGTACATAATACATTACATATACATGTATAGTTTACATTACTACTATATTACTGACTTGCTGTGTGCCCGTTCTACGCACGGGGATCTTATCGTAGTCAGTTGAAACTTTCTTATATTAAGAACAGCAGTTGGTTTGCATATTTTCAGATATGCTGGCAAAAATATTGTATATAAACCTTCGCAAATACAGTATATGACAGTTTCAAGCCAAAACAAATGCTTTGTAATTAAATGTCACCCGGATCGTGTTGGTCCACAGGTTAAATCCAATGATTAAACTAAAAAATGCTTTATAGATTTTAAGAAGCAAATAATAAACAAAGAAATTCTCTCCACACAAACCAGAAAAAATATACCTTTAAACTGTCTTTAATCTTATCAACACAGGATGATAAATCTATAAGAAGTATGCTTTACATATGGTTATCCAAATACCTTTAAAATATTTTACTTGTTCAAATTTGTTGGTACTACAGTACCATAAATAGATACCAAACATACTCCCTTGTGTTGGTTAGTCTGTGGTACAACTAAATTACTAGTTTAACAAATGTTAACTATTCATACATATTAACAAATTGTGATTTTGCAGTTGTAGCCAAGATTCGTAACCTGAATGACTATCATTTGCGGTTACAACATGGGGTTCTTCCTACACCTTCAGGAGTCGACATTGCTAACGCCATCAACTACTTCTCACAGACCTTAACAAGTACGTACAATGACTATTCCGGACAATGTGTCAACTAAACTATGTATGGCGCTATGAAGACCACATAGTTACCTCGTCTGGCTATATTTCTTTGGGTCAAATTACAATCACATGAGTAGTATAGTCATTAATCATGGGCAGAATTTTTATCACTTATAATTTTATATTTTACAAAAACAGTGACACAATTTTACATTTTACGCTAATTATGAGTGAATGATGGGTGCGGAATTTTGTGAGATGAATTGTGTTGCTTTGCTACTGGCTGAAACCAGCTGTGTCTTCAGCCTGTACCGTTTATTTAAAAGTCCAACGATTAAAGACAGCAGGATTTAGTTTCAAATTGTCAAGAAGTTCCTCAAATTTCTCAAGAGTAAACTGGCTAACTTTTGATTGTTAGGCGAGCACTATAACCTCATTGCTACCCAGTTATGATTACCTCTTGCAGATGTCCTGAAGGACGTGCCCAACTCTCCACTGGAGCTGCTCAAATGTGCAGACAAGGATGGTGTGAGGATGGCGTTGTACCCGAGCCTGGACTACCGAGGACTCTACATGGCCTTGCAACAGCTGGTAGACGTTGCTCCTCTCATGCAGTTTGGTTTGCACGGTAAAACAACTTGTTCAACTCCATTTCCTCTCCAGAAAGGTTTTGTCATGAATGTGGCTACTGGATTGTGTATCTTTAAAAACACACAAAATAGGAATTGTTGGTTGTAGGAGTTTTACAATGCAACCATGAGTGTTTTAATTCGATTTATTTCATTAATTGTTGTGGTCATTTTCATTAATTAATTATTTATTATTAATAAAAATATTAGCTACTGTACTTATGGTACAGGCCTGTAAGTATGGGCCTACATTTAAACTCAAACAATTTTTAAGTTGAAATGTTAAAATTTTTAAAATTGCTACTCTTGGACATGGTTTAACATTTTTCTAAAATAATTTAGCCTAACTTTAAATTACTAGCAAGGAGTAGCAAGTGTGGCATAAAAATAAAAGTAGGCTAGCTATCTTTTAGTACTGTAAAAATTAACAGTAATAGTAATTTTGGTTGAACACTGATTTGTATGAATAAATGAATGAAATTCAATAACAAAGTATTTGAATTAGATACAAAATAAATAATACAAATACGACATTTGAAATAGACTTAATTAACCCTTACTTGACGTTTCATACGCAAAGACCATGTGAAGATGGGATAGCGTGTGATCAATAATCCCCCCTAAAACTTCTTAACTTACAATCCTGTTACAGCTTTTGGCCAGTCCCTGCTGCAGTGCCTGGGATGTATTCTGCCGTTCCTAGAACATGATATGATCGACACTCTGCCGTACCTCACAGCTTCATCAATGTCTGCTCTGCCGGCCTCTCTACACCAGGACATTGTCAACTCCTTGTGCTACTACATTCTGCCGTTCACCATCAGTGAGTAAAACTAATTTGAATAAGTCATACTTTCACAGTTGCATTACCTCATCCAATAGGACAGTTATGACTTAAATCCACCCCAATGTGCCAACCACTAACCATACTCGTTGGACCTTAGAGTCAAGACACTCATTCTTTCATTGAAGGGGGGAGAGTGAATTTTTAATCTAAAAAATAAATTGTACAATCAAATGTACTCTTGTAGAGTAGACTTGGGGAAGTTGAAACATCCTACAATAGAATAATAATTAAATAAGCTAAACCCCTTTTTAAGTCACTTATTTGATATTCATTAGTTATAATTATTTACATCAGCTAAGGTTTTTAGTATAATCGTTGAATATGCATATAAAAGTAGATTATCCATCTCAAGTTACATTTGTAGCCAGTTTTAAGATAAAGATAATAGTAGATAATAGATAATAATAGTAGATAGTAGATAATAGTAGTTGAACTGATCAACTGACAGAATGAGGTGCTTACTGATTTCTGATGAAAGTTGTAAGTAAGCCATAATGAAAGACAAATGTTTGTAAACTGTGCATCTTACATGTCTCATGAACTAACCCAGTGTCAAATACGATGGAAAAACTTCTTTTACTGTAAAAATCCGGTTGAGAGACGCATTTAACTTTGTTCTATTTGAAAAGGAAATCGGTTGGTACTGGTTAATGTATTATGTAGGATGTCTACTTTAATTTCAAAAAGTTTGTTGTACCTGTAGTGTTGTAAACATAACGGTATTCGAATATAACGTCTGTTTAGCTCGCAATGCAGACGACGACCAAACAAACTACGCCAGTCAGTCTGTTTCTGCTGTGGTCATGATGGTGTTCCAGTATTCTGATGACATGGGTAAGTAAGACCTTCATTCACCAATTTGCTTGTTATTGTGCAGGATTCTGATGAATTATCTTTGTGTTGCAAATGACACCTCTCTGATCTTTCCATAGTAAAAATGTCAGCTGTGAAGCTGCTTCTCTTGGATCAAGGTTTAGTTGTCACTGATGTGTTTCTAGCTCACCATTGTCAAATGCTGGAGTGTCTGATGACTCTGAAGCTGAACCTGGTGAAGGACCTCTTGTGTGTGATTGCCTACGGGACTTCAGGTGCCAGGATGTCGGCTGCGAAACTGCTCTTCTACTATTGGCCGACATTCAATTCTCGTCTTTTTGAACGCAGAGGAACACCTCCCACACTGTACAGTAAGTCAACACATTCTATGATTCTATAAATTTAGATTCAAAGTAATGTGCTAAGGAATTGAAAAGAAACCATTTTGTGGAGCTATCAGAAAAGAAAATGATTCATTTGTAGTAAACAAACTCTTTCTCTGGACAAATCGGTATGCAGAGACAAGTTTACTTGTTTTCTTATTTTGAATCCTTTAACTGATAAGAAGTGAAAGGCTATATTTATATGGGTGTGTTACCTTTTCTCAGTAATAAAATCATATAGCACATTTCTTGACTTCAGACAGAAAGCCGTTCCCCTGTCAGAGAGACATGTGTCCCAACGCCGGGACTGCCGAGGCTGCCAAAGTCTGCTATGATCACTGCATCTCCATCACCTTCGCCACCAAGTCCCCCCCTCCCCTCTACCTCTGTATCGAGTGTGCCAATGAGATACACCGTGAACACCCAGAGCAGATGTTCTATGACATTCTACATCCGATGCTGCAGGGCTCCGTGTCCTGTGAGAACAAGGTAGGTCGATCCTAAAAATTAACCTTCAAATGAGTTTTAGGTTTCACCAATTTTGTTTTCAAAATAGAGTACCCTAACTCTCTATATGTGTCAAAAATTTCAACAATTTGACAGTACTAGGTAATTATTGTAAAGGTCTGAGGAATGTTTAGTCCATCCATCTAGTGGACAAGCATCTTGGAACTTTGACCTGCTTGAGCTATCACAATATATCAAAGTGTTTGTCTAAATGATTGTGGTTTGCAGCACACTTTCAATGCAGTATGTGCATCCACATCCATACGTTTAAAATGAATCACTTCCTGAAGGATATCAAACGGCCCATAACATAGGCAGACACAGCAAAGTATGTTGATATAATTTTATTCTAACTCAATATTCCAAGCAATTAGCAGCTTTTGCTGAATCAATTTTACTGATTACCAATATCTCAACTCAAACAAAGGAAGATGTATGTTATTTGATTGAGTATGAGCCATTAACCAAAAATGTTGATTTTTTTCAGAACTGTCGATCATCTGATAAAAGTGTGGTTTCAATATGCTTCACAACGGAATGTGTGAGTTACAACAGCAACCATCCGATCCGCTACTGTCAGCAATGTCACAGTATCAGACACAACAACAGACGTGGTGGAGACCACATTGTACACACTTGTCTACCCAAGGCCTGGGACATGGACTCTGAGATGCTCAGCTACCTGGTGGAGGCTATAGTGAGGTGAGTGACATAACAACAGATAATTTCAATCCAGAGACAATACTTCCCCAAGGAGCAATATTTCTATTTGATTTATGGGCCTTCAGCCATGCTACGGCTCAGCAAATTAGAGGCTCATAGCCTATTCTAATTCCCTGTTCTTAGTGAATTGCATTTGGTGATTGGCAGCTTTGAGCCACACTTCAATTTACTGTCCCAACCTTCTAGAAAAGGAGAAAATGACTCTATGTTCTACAGCTTTTTTACGACAAACCAAGATAATATTATACAGTTTTTTTTTAATTTTTACACATACTCTTTCTCATTCCCAGTCTGCTAAAAGAGGCACGAACGACCACAGCAGAGATCCCCAAAGACATGAACGATATCCAGACGAAGGCTGCGCTGCTGAACGTGTTGTCCCCGAGCTACCCACTGTCCACGGAGGAACGTCAGCTGATGGGACGCTTTGGTGTGTGGCTGCTTGTCGGACTCTGCACTCCCAAGGAGAACACCTCCAGTGACATCCTAGGACGTCTGCTGTCCATGCTGTTCCATTGGTTCCATGTCACGGCGTACTCGTTTGATGGTTAGTGTCTATGAGTATTGTTATTGTGTTTACGGTTCCAGCTAAACCACTTTAGTAATTTTTCTTGTGTGTACGTTTTTTATCAGTACATCAATTCTTTATTTGAAGTAAGGCAATAATAATAACACTTAACTATAGTGCTGTGATCTTTGGGGTTTAAAACTGTGTCATGTTTGATGTTCACCTAATGTTTTTGCCACATTGCAAGAGGCCATCTCCAAAGTAGTAACCAAAGTCTACTCTAACAAAAGCTGGGTCATAACCTCTGCACTCGGTTCAGTCTGGATTTATTGAAATCATGTTATTTGGCCGGCCCAGCAATGTCCAGTAATATTACTAAATTTTTGTTCTAGTACTAGAATGTTTATTTATGGGATTGTATCGATTTTATAACACTGGTTTGAATTGTAGACCAGGCGGAGTGTACCCTGGAGCAGCTCAAGACGGACTATGTGTGTCAGTGGCTCAATGAGGTGTGTCAGTCTCACTTCAACATCTTTGTGTCATGTCTGCTGCCCCACCCTCCAGACTACGCTAGGGTGGGAGGTCACTGGTGAGTATAGCATCAGGATAAGTGTAGTTTGATTGTATTCATTTTTAATATCTTCTCTCTGGATTCATTAGGTCAAATCAAACTATAAACATCAAGGCAAACTACAGCTTTGCTTTGATACCACAACTACTTGATACATACTTGATTTTTTATGTTTCAAATTCCTATACTCAGATTTTGTTTTGAAAAGTTTTATTACTGATGTTTCCTTGTACCTCATCCATTAAATACTTTTGGATGAAAAATTCTAGATCCAAAAGTTAACGAAATAATTAAAAGTTGAGGATAAGCAGAAATGTTTAACAAATTAACATGGTGCAATGAAAGGATTGCACCATGTTACCAAGCTTGTGTGAATTAGAATATTCACAGCCAGTTGGGTTGTGTTGAGTTTAAAAGACGCAAGATATGACATTGTTCCTGTTCCTATAAATTCTTACTCACTAATCCAGGCTAGTCCTTCTTAATCTGGGGTAGTAAGTTTAGCTATTTCATCCAGTGGTGGCAGCAATTGACCACTAAAAGTAGGGCGGCAAAAGCCACCAGGAAAGCATGGGTCTATTGTTTGTATAAACTTTACATTAATTTCCCCATACATTCCTAAAAAAACAGGGAAGCTGCCCCCTCTCACTCAATGTTAGTTTTTTTACTCCATACGTGTCTGATCTGGGACCTGACTTAAACATTTAGACTAAAATAAATAAAACAAAAAATTTCAGGCACAAACTGTCTTTATCGACTTGAAGGTCTGGTGTTACCCAGTCATGGATGTGGCCTCAAGACGTTAAAGTACTTGGGAGGGTCGGGTAGGAAGGGTTTGCTGCATAAAGGGCAGCAACTGTGACCTGTCCGTAGTAGGGTCACTAGACAAGGGGGGTGGAGGGGGAAGTTGCAGTTACAAGGTCGTATGAAGGTCATGTAATCAGCTGTGCTTCCACACACACGACAGCTGGGCTTGTCTGGTACCACAGGCAGATCCTCATCCATGGTGTCAAACTGTATGATCAAATAAAACACAGTGAGACACTGGCTTAGCTAATAAAATATAGGAAAATCTTAGAACTTATAATTTGGCATAATGGTAGACATACCATCTTAATGTACAAGCTGTCACCAATATTAGATTCCAAACATAATCAAAATCAAATGGGATACTCATAGAAGACATCAACTGGGATGCGGAGCAGTGGAGCTTTCAAAAGTGGATACAGGATACTGCGTTTAGCACTTAAAATATTATGGTATCTGTAGTCATAGGATAATGACGTAATTTGTCTAATTGTTTTTCTTTTCAGACTAAACTAAATGACTAAAATGATAGAAAAATTATTTTTAGTTACATAACCAACATTGCATGGTTAGATTAGGATTGTTTGCAAAATGTATCCTAACATATTTGTATAGGCCTGCATGGTTGGTTGCATGTTTTATCAAAATGAATTCCTTGAAAATCAGAGAAGTGTTATGAGTTGCTGAGCTTATTGAAACACTTTTGTATTGGTACAACTTACTTTTTAGCGAATTTCCCTATAGGGAAGTAGCTATTACCGTAGGTGGCACGGTAAGACCTAGACCCGGGACCGATTTACTTTTTCATTTTGATGTCCCCAGAGGCCAAAAACACCATTCGTTCAAATTTTTATATATGTATATATATATATATATATATATAGACTTATATATATATATATATATATATATATACGTCCGTGAACGCGATAACTTGAGTAATTTTTGTCCGATTTTGATGAAATTTGGTTTAAAGGTGTAAAGCGGGATAAACTTGAATGAGTTCGCGAACCAGCACGATCGGACCATGGGAACGGGGCTTTACGGGGGGTTTTATGGGGTAAAAATTGGTTTTTCTCACTTTTGACCCTCAAAACACAAAATTTCCCGATTTCTCTTTAGACCTTTTTAAAGAGCTTAAAAAAACAAATAATTTAGTATATAAAAGTATTTTTGTTCGATTATTAGTAACGGAGAAAATTAAAAAAATTGTAAATTTAAAATTCCCATGTTATTCTTATGGAGAATATTGTCAAATGTTGTAGTTTGCTTGTTTATGGATATATTTTGATCAAACTTGGCAAATTTATTTATTTTGTACTAAGCTATCAATATTTTACTCAAAAACACACTTTATTAGTTTCCTTGTAGCAGCAAACCTAGGTACTCGTTAAACCTAATGTTATATTAAAATATATTTAACTGAAAATCAATTCAGACAAATGGAAATTCGCTTAGTCGGCAGGTTTGCTGCGGCGGGGGTATTTTTTAGTTATATGAATCAAAGTGTGTCATAAGTTTGAATAATGTAGGAAATAGTTCACCGACAAATCTTTCAATGTGTATATACCCTTAATTTTCAATGTTGAAAAAATTTATACAGTGAATTTGACCAAATATAAGTAGGTAACCATATCAACCACCAGAAAAAACTGCTGTTATAATTAATTTGTGCAATCAAAATTTATAATTTGAAACCCCACCAAACTGAAGTACATTGAAGTACATTCTAATAAAGAAGAGAGCATTATGTTACCGGCATCTTCTTTTTTTAACTTCTCATTCACAACCACTTGTTTATTCTAAAATAATTAATGTATACCCTTGAAATAATAAACATATTTTGTATTTATAATTTTGCTTTTTTACTAGTTATAATATAATACAACATTTAATAAATATTATAAACTCATCACTAACCTTATGGTGATGTTGTGACTTGATTGCTCAAAACCCAGAGTTGTAGGTAGATCCTAATAAGTCAAAATAAAAAAATAAGGGTTTGAAACAAGGGCTGTTTTTTTTTTCATTGGGAATCCCTATTGACCAAAAGATGGTCTGACCTCATTGATTATGTCCCCTCATTACCATTCAACCATTTTTAGATTATATTTAGAATGAATATTTTTGTTTCCTTTAGAATTGTACTAAAATGATATAAATTCCTGGATCATTGAAGCTCTACCCCATAAGCATTTAAATTTTATTTTTATACTCAGAAACAATAGTTGATGTATTCTTACAACTTTTCAGGGACATGTTGGTATCTCGCACGTCTCATCTCAAGAACGGTTTGAACCGGTTGTTCTCGCTGGTGCCATACGAGGTGATCACTCCAGAGATCTGGGACTTTGTGATGCCTCATTGGCTCGAGGCAATAGTTAAGGACGTTCCAGAGAAGGAGTTGCCGGAACTGAAACTTTTGCTAAGGTATCAGCAGTCACTCTTTTTGGGCGACTTTGAATTTAAAACTCTATTTCCTTTGTACAGGTTTTTGGTGAATACTGAACTGGGAATACATGTTTTATATTGAGATGTTTGTGGAGGGGGTGCCTAACACCTCTAAATCAGCCAATTGTGCATTTTAATTCTTAGTATGTCATTCACACTGCCTAATCTTAGGTTCCCTATGAACCTTAAGACCATGATTAGTTTTTGCAAATTATATACAAATAAACTATTTGTTTATTTATAAGAGTTTAAGGGATAATAGACATCGGTGCACAAAAAAATACATGTACTGTACTCTCTGAAGAGTAAAAAAATTAAGTTCTATTGTAGGAAATAATATCAAGAATACTTAATGATTTTTAGAGATTTTTTGACCTCTTTCCTAACAGTTGGGACTTTGGAAGAAACCCTTAATACAGCAGATGGTATCTGTAGGCCTACATGTTGAACCATCTTAAGTTACTGATTTACCGATTTAAACATGATTTACATCTCATGATAAGTGAACTTATAGAGCAAAAAAGTGACTCTCTAAACTATACTCTCTGAAGAAGGAATAGGAAGAATGATCTGGACCATTTGTTTATTTAGACACCCTTTCCACACCTTTCCAAAACTTAACAGTTTATAGTTCATGATTGTAAATTTATTTTGTTTAACTGATTGTTGTCATTTTCACCACTGATGGAATAGATATTCGGCAGTGGAAAACGCACACAATAATTCTTTGAAGATTATATTATTTATATGTTTTGTTTCAGCAAGATGCTGGACCCTGAGATGAGTCCTCTCGGGTTTGAAGCTAAAAAGCTCTTTCATTTTGTGTCAGTTCGCTTCAAGCAGACAACCCCCAAAGTTATGGAACAGGCACTCAACTGGTTACAGGTAAGAATCCCTGTTTTAGTTCTACAATTACTAAACCATTTGTTTTTTATTATGTCAATGACAAATATGGTTTTTTTGCAAATAGTTATGTTACTGTGATTACAATTGAGAACTTAACCAAATAGTTTGGTTAAAGGTTAAATATGCTACCTTACTACACAGCTACCATACTGTCGTTTTTTTTAAACATAGACCATATTTTTTTATTACTCATAATTATTTACAGCTGTTGAAAATACAGAGGACCGCAGAAATTCTCGGTAAATTTATTTAACAAATATGTTACTTACAGATCCTAACCATCTTAGACATTGTGATTCATCGGCATCTCTTGTTCACCTTCTTCGAGGACGGAATCAACAGTATGAAAGAAGGAGAGACTCTGGGAAAGGACAGGGACAGTTTGAGGAAAAGCAATATTTGTATGTTGGTCAAATTAAATCTTTTATAACTCTGTAGAGAATTTAATTTAAGGTTTATATCATTGACTTGGATTATGAAGATGAAGATATTGAAGATTATTATTACTGTTATTGGTTTAGAACTTAGAGGAATGTACACTATGTAACTCTTCTAATAAATGATATTTTTCTCTTACTTATTTGGTCGTAAGTTTATTTGAACTATACAAACAACCACGACCAAACATTGTTCTCCTTCAGATGTAATTATAAACTGACTGTTTCAGCACCAGTTGTGGAAGATGAGTCGGGACAGACATCAGGTATCTCTGATGACGAAGGTCAGACAAACCGACAGAGCAAACGGCAGCACAGCGATGGAGAGCTGAAGTTGTCGTGCTGCGTGCTCATGTTGGATATTGTGCTCAAACAGGTCTGTCATTGGCTAAAGGAAGGAGGTTTTTCTCATTTTTTTATGTGTTAGAACTTTGACTGTTACAGCTAGCTGTTTCTCAAGAAATGTGATATCATGTTGTGAATCATGAATGATAGACTGTTGACTATTTTGTAGCCTCTTGCAGGCTTAAATCAAAATAAACACTGTCAGCAATCTGACACATACTGTCTCCGACTTAGTCAACACCTCTTATCATGGCCTATGGGTAAGTGGTGGGATCGACTTTTATATTTCAACAGTTAAACAAGTGTTGCAATAGCTTTTAAACCCTATTTCTTACAGCAATGGGGGTTGTCTTGTTTTGTTTGGAGTTTAAAGGACTAAACAAAATTTTAATCAAAATTAGTCAAGCTGTTTTTTTTTTAAATAATTTTTTATATTGAGTTCTATGGGTTTTGTGGGGAAAATCACAAATGTTTCAATAGGGGAGAATTTAAAAAGTTGATGTAAAGGATTGCTTGTTACAGATGGAGAAGCAAGGAGTGGAAAGACACACTGGTATTCACACTGTAGTAGCTCAGGATACTTGTCGGATACTACAGGTGAGTCCACTATCTATACGAGTTGCCTATAACTCAACATGAATGGCAAAAAGCTATACTTTTTGACACTTGCAGCAGCAGCGTTAAAGTCAAGGCTAGAACTACTACGCTTGGACTTGTGCTTGGCTAGTGTTGACTAGTGTATGAGTCTGAACAATGGTTGTAAGGTCTAAGGTGCCAACCTGGCTAGGATTTAAATAAATGATCCTGGCTAATGAAACATCTGATCTTATTCTGTGACAAAGCTACACAGATCATCTCACTCCATTCCATTCTACACTCATCCTTCCTTATTTGGGTTGAAATATGCACCTAGGTGGTGCAAACATAATGATGCTCAGTGCACTGTAGATTGAGGGTTAGAATCCGAATGCACTCTTGGTCAGGTGTGCAACTCATAAGTAGTGCACCTGTCTGTGGTAAAGGTTGGTGGGAGAGGACCACTTCAAATAAGTGATGGATTGATAGCTCGGTTGGGAGTTAATGGAATCAGTAAATTCTTTGCGAGTTTCACTTCTAATCATTTATTCTGCTATATCTTTTCTAAACCTTATTTTGTGTGTTTACTGAAATTTTTTTTGAAAAATTTGGATCAAACAAATGAAATTTGGAATTATTTTAAATTTGGTGTCCAAGACGAGGGAAAACATGAATTTGGTACAGTCAAACAACTAAATAATCATTGGAAGTTCTAAGGGTTCAAGTAAGAGACATAAGAAATATAGTAAACATCAAAACTTTCTTTAACACACAGAAATAAACCTTAAAGTTAAGTGTCTTCAGCTGATCTATGAGTATGACACTATATAACGTTTGTTCAATCTATGGTCTTGTTGAGCTGCTCAAGATGTCGTATGTTCAGTGGATGCTGCAAGCCCCGTGGTTGACGTCCCATGTTTGCACTGGGTCTGGCAAGACTGAGTGTGTTCACTGTGAACTGACTATCGTGTGGCACCAACTGGCGCTAGAGCTAGTCGGCTACATAGCCCAGGAGAACCCAGCACACCCCCCTGATGTCAGTATCTGCAGAGGATGAGTATTTTAGACACCATGTGGTATCAACATTATACAATAGAAATAGCATTTATGGTAAAGAAGGGTTAGTTTGATCGTTGGGAAAAATAAAGCCAAAATATTCAATTTGGCAATTGATGGTTGTGGGTGAAATAAAGATATTCAATAATGTTGGAGAAATTTTATGATTGAATGATATAAGTTATGCTTTGCTTTATTTACAATATGTTAATTAGCGTGTTCCTTTTCACCGGAAAATAAAAAAAAAATTAATTATTGTATTTGCATGCTTTTTAACCAGCCAATACTTCTTGTAAGTAATAATCAAATTTCTACCAATAATTCCGAGCCCAGTTAATTTAACCTCTTTAATAATTCTACCTCTATAAAGAGTTTAACCTCTACCCATAGTATAACTGCAATCAATGGCTTAATCTTTAGTGGTAGCTTAACCTCTACTGATGGTTTAACCTTAACCAATACCGTAGTTCATCAACCACTTACGCAACACTCCCTTGTGACTGACAGTTTGGTGTTCCAGCCGCCACTGAAGGAGGAGTCTGACGAGCACAAGTCCCCCGGGGAAGACAAGAAGGCTGAGCCAAAGCCTGACGTCGTCATCAACATGCCACTGCTCGAGATACACACAGTGGGTGGAGTCCTGGTCAACATGCCCCATGTAATTACGCTGTGTCGGTGTATCAAGTGTGGGTCATGATGCACCTCACAGCACTCAACCCTAGTCTCCCGATAGCCAAATGTCCACTCTCCTAGTCTCTCGACAAACTTTCCAGTTACTTGAAAAACCTCCTCTTGAAAAACCTAACAACCTAGTCTCCCAAAAAAACTTCCCACTCTATAAACATACCCGATCAATATCTACAAAATGTCTCAGTTGATCAGTTAAATTCCAAGTCCTTAAATAAACTTCCTAGCCTCATGATGAACTTCTCAGACCCAAACATCCGAATTTAGAAACAAACTTCGAAACTTCTCGATCTTCCAAAATACTTCCCAGTCCCCCAACAAACTACACAGTCTCTTGATTAACTTTTCAGACCCTTAATAGACCTCCTAGTCCCCAGACAAACCTTTTAATTTTATCAGAAACTTTTCAGTCCCTCAAAAACATCTCAGTCTCTCAAAGAACTTCCTAGTCCGTAGACAAGGTCCTTCAAAAAAGAAATTTTCAATCTTTAGACAAACATCTTAGCCCCTTAGCACCCACCAATAAAAAATAGTAGATTATTTCCCCATCTTCCTTCTAGTTTCCAGTCTTCTGTCAGATTTGATTGTTTCCGCTATCTAACTTCTTATATTCTTAATCCCTCAAAAAATTCCCCATAATAAAACTTCCTAAGTCTCTCAACTATCAATCCTGTCTGTCTAATATCATTCAATTTTCCTAGTATTGAGGTTCTAGTTTCTCCAATTATCTTGAGATTCAACCTTCCCATGTCTTGGTAAACCCATGTCAACCATCTTCGCTTTCTAGTATCCAAATATTGGATTTATCCACTCTCTAAACCAACCTTTCCATTCCTTCCCAATCTCCAACCGCCTGTCAGTTACGCCATTACAGTAGGAGCCTCGCTTGGCGTAGTTACACTCATCAAGTGCATGCCACCAGCACAAAGCGAGATAGTTGCGTAGATAGTAGTTAGACCCACCCGGCTGCCGCTAGATGAGTCGTTACTACAGCCATTTAGTAACCGGTTCCCTACATCCTTCTCAAGAAAAAACCATTTAGTAATTACTTCACAACCTTCACCTCGTGGATGGAGATTGTTTTGCTAGTTGGTAGTGGATTGTTAAGAAACAGATTAGTATGAAACAGTTTAACCAGTTTCCTAACTCCTAAATTCAAAGTTGTTCATTTTTAAACAGTTTTTTCACTTCTCAAACCTGACAGGAAACAGATTACCGGTACCCTATATGGTGGTGATTTGATAAATTCTTTAGAATGGGAAACTGGTTAGCCAATAGTAACTGGTTTGCTAAATCCTTTAGAAAATAGAAGACTGGTTTCTAACCGGGTTGCTTGATTTTTAGAATATGCAAAGTTAGCCATTTTTACACCATCAGAAAAATATACGAAACTGGTAAAAGTTTTTACATTTAATTTTTAAGATGCTTGCTCATAATTGACATAACTATTAGTAGCCAGTTCAACAGTGGTCAATTGTTTTCTAACAACTAGTTTTATTTATTGTTACCGTATCAATTTAGAACAGCTTGTCATGAGTACCAATTAAAATATTAAATATGTCAAACCCTTATAAGTTCAGTTTTGAATTATGTTCTTAAAAATAATTTGTCAGAATGACTATTGCAGTTTCCAAAAGAGTAAAGGGGAGATGGTACCAGTTAAATGAAATCTGCCTTTACTTAATTGCATTAATGTTTTTAGGCTCAAACTACACCAAAGGACAATGAAGTACCTTACAGATTCAATAAGGTGTGTTTTAACTGTGTGTATCTGTGTGTCTGAATCTGGTCTTCAACGCTTTAGTTGTCTTCATCAACGGTTCTACTGGACAGTCTCTTATTATTGAAACTTAAACTGCGAGAAAAATAATAAACTGACCCTAAACAAAACTCGATTAATAATAAGTCATAAAAATGTTTACAATTAAATCAAGTTGCTGTGTTGAAGTTGAAGATAAAAATAATAAATTTAAGTAACGCAATAACATACTTAAAATTGATTTTTAAAAGTCATATAAAATACTTTTACTTGTTAATAGGTAGGTACAATTTTGTTGTAAAATATTATCTAAGTATTCATTTATCCACCCATTGTTTTCAAAAAAGGTTTTCACTTTTTGTACGAAATGTTTCTTATTTGTTACACTCTTTGCATAAAGGAAGAAGGAATGGATTTTGTATACTTATCCAACTCACTAAAAATCATAGCTTCAGGCAGTTGGTAGCACACAAAAAGTTTAGAACAGATAGAATTTGGTATTTTACAGTCTTCTTAATGAACTATGAGTCTTCTTCAGAATCAAATTTTAGAAGAGAACTGAATTGCAATTTATAGCCAAATTTCTGCTATGTTCTCCTGAAGAAGCTCCCAGGAACAAAATATCAAGTTTATCATGTTGCGAACCTTTTGTGAGCTATGTGTTTAGAACTCTTTTCTAAAGTGAGTTTTTTATATAACCATTTCTTACTCATCTGACTTCGTAAAACCGTTATCCATTAAAATATTATCTCATACCATCTAGCTTAGCTGAAATAAAAATTCTTGTTCTTTAGGTATTGAGTTTGTGAGGGTTTATGGACATGTAAAAATCTATCATATTTGAAATATAAGTTACTTACATATTACACAATTAGTAAACATGGTTTACAGTGTTCCCCAGTATTTTATTTAAAATATTTAATCATTGATACATACTACATTCAATTTCAAAGCCAAGTTTTTGGAAACAGTTAGTTTTTGACATCTTGTTTTTGTCCGCGACCATCGTATGCCTTATAGATCAATTCGTGGTGAAGTTTCAATAAGAAAGCAGATTGCTTGGCCTCTTCACTCTCTGTTTTCATCTGTGTTATCTTCATGTTCATGTGTGATCGTTTGAATGTTCTCGGTCAGGCTGCGTGGACTTCTGTTTACAAACAGCTCTCGCTTCACGCACTGCATGCTCTCTTCCGCTCACTACGTCTGTTTACGTATCTTTTCAATTCACTTACGATATCTTCAACTGTTCAGAAATCCCTCTCTGTCCGGATCTATTTATGTTTGATGTTGTAAATCGATGTTTTCTCTGTACATACGTTTAATTTGTGTTGTTTTTGTTCTCTTGTGTTGTCAGTTGTAATGTCGATTGTAAAGGGACTTTTGATTTGGACGCAGATATGAAACCACTTGTGTTTTTTGTCTACGGTAATATCTGTTGTGTTTCTTAAATGTTTTGTTCTATGTTTCGTCTAAGTTTAAAAATTACCAATTTTTAAACTTCATGATTAAAAATGATTTTTAAACTAATATAAAGCTTGGTGAAATAGTGATTCTTTAGAGGAATTACTGTATCTTATCTTGTGTTATAAAATGTGCTTATTTTACGATTTGATGGATTGGATGTGTTTTTAAATATGTATTTTCAGTTTGGTAAGGGGGCTTTACATAGAATATACAATTCGAATACATTAAAATTAAGTGTAACTTTTAAATTCTTTTAAGAAGTGTTGTATTGGATTGATGTAAGAATTTGAGAATTTTGTTTAACATTTATCTATGTCACAAGAAATTAAAACCTTGACTGCACGTGGCCGCCGGCTCCCATCGTGGTCCCTTGGCACATGCTCGTAGGATGCCAGTTTCCCAACCAACCTGCCTAACAAGAGCGCAGTGTTAGCGCAGGCTCGGTCAGAAGAGGGTGATATTTCTTGCGCGTGGAGACATATTCTCCTCAGTATGCATTGCACAATCCGTTGTATACTAGCGGGACCTGTCATCTGTTAGCCAAACCCTTTTTTATACTTGAGGGTACGGGACAAAGTGTGTGTTTTTTCTTATTCCAGAGGGATTAATTTAATGTTTACATATGATAGTTTATTATGGGACGTGAACTTCAACAGTGCTCATGGAACATCGGTGTTCCTCAGGGCAAACACTTCCTCAGTGCTTATGGGTGACTGGCGCGGCGTTCCATAATTTGATGGCGTCACTTAATGTTGAGTTTATGTTTATAATTTTTTTTTTTTATTTATTTAAAGCCCAATGATCAGGAACAGCTGGGTCCAGTCTTGAACCATCAAAAGCTACTGACTTTTCTCAGGATTGAATCAGCAATTTTTTGTTTGCTAAGCGAGAACCGTAACTCAGCTAACCAGCCAGTTATTCTTGATGGTAAAAGATTACTGAAATACTATGGTGTTTCTTGCTCGTGTCAAGTCTATTTTTTTTAATGACTGGTGTGGATAAGCTGTTGTTGAATCCATAAACAAATATATAAATTAGGAAGTTCAACAATACTATCCAGCCATAAGTGGCTTAAAACAAATATTAATATTGACATAAATGTGACCTTTTAAGATTGTGTTCATTTAAGACAGTAAATTTATTGATTGAAGAAATGTAACATGAAGAAGAGTGATTTACTTGCCTCAATTAGGTGTTACAATCATCACTAAAAGTAGCCTAGTCTATCTAAGATCTGTTTTAATAAACAGTTTTGCCTCTAGTGTTTGCTAACTGATTGTAGTTAAACACTGATGGATAAGCTGTTATTTAACTATAATTCACATTTAAACCTGTTACCCAATTAATTTGTTATCACCTGTTACTAATAAAATAGGTCAGCATCAATGGATCTTTAAAATGTGATCTCTAGAAATAAATCAAACCCTGGGAGGAAGCCCTAAATAAATTTACCTCTAGGTTCTCATTTGTCCTTCTGCTAGGTCATATATTTTAAACAACACATAAATAGGTTTAGTGGGACGGGCCAAAAACGGATGTTACAGAAGAAAAACTCTTATTGTCTAAGTATACATAGATTTTTGACTATTAAAACATAATCATCATTCGTTTGTTCTTTTTGAGGGATATTGTTTGACTCAAGCTAGATAGAAAATTGAAAACTTTATCCAAAACAATGTTCAAGAACTCAACATAATGGTTGTATTGTGATTGTGACGATGTTGTCTGTTGATTGCAGATCATGACTGCCACTGTGGAGACAGTGATGGAGCAGCTGGATTTGGCTCCGATGATAATATCTGAGCGAGCAGTACCAGCCGTCGCTCGAGCCGTCACACTCACCGATACTGACGTCGGTCTGTATATCAAAGAATACTCTGCTTGTAGAATATTTCCATACTAAGATACTTTAGATAGGTATCATTCACCTTATTGAAATCAGGAGAACACAGTCCTTGTCACACAACAGTTCATTGATACACATAAAAGATACTAAATAAAATTACACACTAAAGTTCTTTAATTCCGACGTTTTGTCGCACCAATAGCAGTTTAGAAATAGACTATAGTTATTTGTGTAACTAGTGGTGAAAGTGGCACTTTGCAGGCGAGTGCGGAATGATCTCGAGTGCAGCAAAGGCCTTTTTCACTCGTTTTACACATTATATTTTTCCTACAGTCACTATAAAGCATATAAATAATTAGTCTTACAAACACTATACAACACGTTTTTAGGTTCAGCTGGCAATACAAATGGTGCCCTAGAGAAAGTATTACCAGCGGTCCGTATCACTCCGCTATTTTTCCTCGGCAAGAAATGTGCTCCGCGTTTTGAGAATATAGTTCTGCATGTTTTTGTAATTTGAAGTGGTTTCAATATATTACCCATATTGAGACTACATTTAGGTATCAACAACTTTTGACCAAAACAAATTTTATAACCTAATATATTACCCATATTGAGACTACATTTAGGTATCAACAACTTTTGACCAAAACAAATTTTGTAATAACTGACAAATCTTTAAAAATATGTAGCCACAGCCAAGGTGAACATTGCCCGACCGAATCTGGTAGGTGAGAATGACCAGCCCGTGGAGCATTCGGAGGATGACATGGACGATTTCTGGCACACATCTGTCGGCAAGTTCCGCTTCTCTATAGATGAACTGCCACACCAGCTGCAATATATACACACACTGCTGAAGGTAAATGAAGCTTTATTCCTGTGTTGATTATGTTCAATTGTTATGTAGGCTGTAGATGTGTGAAAATTGTCCACAGATTTGTCTTCCTACATGAGGTGTGTTAGAGAAACACAATAATGCAAGGTTGCTATGACAACCATTGGTTTTGCGGTGGAAAGACTGAGACACCAATTTCATTTCATTCATTACATGGAACGGTTTTAGACTATTTATACAAAAAATTTATTTAAAGAAATGAGCCTCTCACAAAGTCCTATAGAGTTTAAAATCATATTTTCTCCCTTTGTTTTTTTTTGTTACTGAGCTACTTGATGCCTCCTAAAATATGTTATAGCTTACAATACTTTTTTAATACTTTTTAATATTTTTCAATGTGATGGCGACCATACAAAGTAGGTATTTTAAGCCAATTATGAATGAAGATGAGTGTAGGATGAGAGGCGCGATCTTGTAGTCTTGTTGTTGTTGTTAGTAACTAAGGCCGACATAATAAGTTGGCTTATTAGTTTGACTCAATTGCAATTCAAAAGTTGGCGCATTCGACAGAAACCAGTATTTTACATCAGAACACAATGTTGGATGCACAATTCAATTACATTCTAAAACTGGCGACAACTTAAACACAGAGATAGAATGTCTAGCTATATTCATAGTCACCTTCACTCTCCTATTATAATAATCTCCTTAGCTCGACATTACTTATCAGAATTTACACGATTGAAGTCGATAGTCATTCAGTAGTAAAGAACTAAGTGGATTGTAGGAGTTGCCGAAGACTGAGGAGCCAGATGTCTTGTACTACATGTTGCAATGTCTACATCTGATGGTGCTGCACGGAGACGCTCTCAACAAGGCTGTCAAGGACCACCGAGGTTTCATCATCTGGTGTCAGGAGAATCTCATCATCAAGAAGTGAGTGGAATACTGTAAACAAATGTTATTTCAAATTCTGTTGTTAGAACGTGAGACTGATTCTTAAAAGAGATAGACTTTCTATAAATAAAAACGTAAGAGGTAAGAAGTAACAAAGAATTCTTCCTTTTTAGTTTTTAATATAACAAAATTTTAGGGCAACTACTCTTACAATTAACCAAAGAAGTATTAGTTCTAATGTAAGCAAATAGCATGATAAATCAATTTAAATAATTATCTGGAGACAGTCCATTTACAACTTTCTCCAACCTATTGAGTGGAGTGAGACATAAGACTCAAAAAGTGGGCGAATTTTGTTAATTGATTAGTTGAAATGAATCGGTCTCATGTTCACAACACAACACCTGTGATCAATCAATTATCATCCACCACTTATATTCTTTTACTTCTATAACACGTGTTTTTCCGTCCAATTCCTAATCTGGTTATTACTTAATGTGAACCATTTATGGCATCATTAATTATTAGACAAACGTCACCGCATCTCTGGGTTCAAAATCAAAACCAACAATCATCAGATTTAATTTCAAGCATTATAATCTCTCAGACACCCAAACAATCTATGTCCAATCCAATATTCTAATGAAACGATCCAAATATTTTTATTTTAACACAATGTATGGTGTCACGCTCAATTTGACTTTTCTCACAAACCACTTGTGCAGTTTACATCTCCTATCAATTACTTGTTATGGTGATATTTTCTTGGCGATTAAGAATAATTTGCAAAGAAATTCGGTAATTTTCTGTTAAAGGGAACATTCATGATTATCGATGATTTCTTTTCAATTTATCAATATTTTTTGTTTTCTTTTACAAGCCATATTCCTTCTGTTTAATATATTCAAACACATTTAAACTACCAGTTGAGAACTGCCTATATGGATTAAGAAATGAAACTATTCCAAACTAACTTAACATAACTAACTAGACTTGCTGTAGGCTAAGTTACCGTTTTAAAATTCTATTAAATAACATAAAAGGCATGTGGGAAATGGAATAGGTTATCAAACAGAATTTTTACATTTACAGCAAGTTTGGGTTGGTTAGGTTAGTTTAGAACAGTTTCATTCCAATATATTTTTATTTGTTGATACTGAGCAATTTATTCATTGTAGTTGTCAGCTGATTTGTTTCAATTCATCAATATCAATTTATGGGATCAAAAAATAAAATATCAATATATCGAAAAGAAATCATTGATAATAATGAATGTTCCCTTTAACAGAAGATTTCATCAATAAAATTAAATAAACTAATTTAATCAAAATTTTATTTGACAGTTTGTGGGACATTTGCAATGCTGAACATTCACACATCTGCGAAACTTGTGTTCCGATCCTCCTACATTGCATCACTCTGCCGTCTGGTTCGGACGTCTTCTGGCGCGTCATCCAAGACGAGTTTCATAGCAGTGATTGGAGAGTTCGTTTTGTTGCAGGTAATGTTTTGCTTCTTATAAAATATCCTTTTGATTGGTTAAGGATCCAATATACCATTACTATTAGTGGATAGACCACAAGAAAGTATTCTCATGAATTTGCATGGCACCTATCGAGATGGGATTCACAGCAGTAGTGGAAGAGTCTATTAAATAAATAAATAAATAAATCTTACATAAAAAATAAAACGTTTACATAGTATAGCTATGCTACAAAACAGGTAACATTGTCAAAATACAAATACCTTAAGACTAAGGATTTACAAAAATAAACTAAAACTATAAAAATAAAAGTGGTATAAACAAAATGTATCAGTTAAAAAAATGTAGTTAAAACAAATTTATTTTTACACAACCTCATCATTTAAGAACTCATCTATACTGTAATAGGTTTTTAATAAAAGAAAATTAGCAAGGCTGCTTTTGAAATGCTTGGACTGTATTTTGTTCTTGAATTATTGAGACAGTTTATTAAATAGTTTTTTGCCCATGTATGTTGGGGTTTCTCCTAATGAAAGACGATCCAGCGGATATTGAAAGTTAGTTTTGAACCTAGTTTCATACCTATGCTCAGTGTTTTCACTACAAAATTTTTCAAAATTTCCTTCTACCACCAAAAGTGTTTTAAAAATTGTTAAACTCGGAACAGTCATTACTCCTAATTCTAAACAAAATGGCTTAGGTACATGATGTTCTCCATGGTGCAAATGTCATTATTCAAAAGTTTGTTCTGAATCTTAAAAATTAAATCAATGTTTGATGCAAAGCCCCAGAATTCAATTCTATATTGAAGAATTGAATAGAAGTATACATAGTATAACATCAAACAAGTTTTTAAGTCAATTGTGTTTCTTAAACATATCATTTGATAACAAGCTGAATTCAATCTACTAATCAAATTTTCAATGCTTTTTTCCAATTTAGTTTTGAATCTACGTACAAACCGAGAAATTTTACATCATCGTGAACAGCTATAATTTAGGTCTTTAAACTCTTTTGCCTGAGCAGTACAAAACTGAAGGTTATGTTTATGTTTACAATAATAAATTTAAACAATGTAACATATGGATAGTTAAGCACTACCGCTTAAATCCATTTTTTTTGTGGTTGGTTCTAGAATATTTTTTTTTTTTTTAAGCTTTGGTCAACATATTGTCTACAATTTTGGTATCATAACCATTATACTTAGCCACGTCTTTTTTGGTATTTAAGTTCTTTATTATAATTTTTTTGGGACAGTGGGGTATTTAAGAGGCAAAAAATCATTGAATTAAAAGCTGATATTTTTTGTTGATAAACCCATTGGTGTGGATTGGTTTTCTGTAAATATCAAACTAGTTTTTCATCACTTTGTAGCATTAGTACATCTAGAAACGAGATCTTCTTATAATTTTTAACCTCATATGTGAATTTTATTGACATATAAAAATAGTTCAATTTGTTGACAAAGTCATTAAGGCTTTCTTTTTTATCAAAAACTGCAAATATGTCATCAACGTACTGTAAACAGGTTCTTGGAAAATACGCCATTATTCTTTTGCTTTTGTTTCAAAATGACTCATAAATATATCTATTATATTATTAAAGGGATACAATAAAATTGTATGTAAACGGTTAAGGCCATTTACCAAATATAAATATAGGCATATGACATATCAAAATGATGCTTAGAGTGTGTAGATTTGCCAAAAAGTATTGATATGGACGAACTCCCTAAGGGCTCTGCCCCACAGGCTAATTTCCAAAGGCCTTGCATGTTTTGGAAGTTAACGTTATTCGATTAATTTAGGGAACAACAGCTGGCCAATGCAATTGACAATATAGTTTGTTTGTTTACATCTTTGTTTACTTATTTTATTATTTACTTTTATGTTACTAAACGAGGTGCAGTGAATGGACAGTGGAGCTATTTCTAGCTGTTTGAAAGTGAGTGATTAAAGGTGTTCGAATCACAATGAATATGAGATTAAAAAACCATGTATGTTGTTCGTTCCAAGAGGTTGTCACCGATCTTTAATTAACAGGTCGCCATTTCATTGAAAAGTATTAAAGTATTAAAGACGTCGTGAAAGAGAGCGGCGAGTTCAGGTTCAACCATACCCACCTCGGCCACCTTAAGATGTAAGGTATAAAGGTTCGACCGCTTGAACATTCTTTTGGATGACAATTTCTCAAACTTGGGCCCTTTTAAATGAAATATAAAGTCAAAGTTGATTAAATCAATTTAATTGTGGCTTCTGTACACCCGTAAATTCGCGGGTAGAACCTCTTGTATGCTACAAAACATGATAGTGGATTTCCCTTAGCATTTCCTTCAGTTTGGGTATAAAAAGTATTATTGTAATATCATAATATAATCATAACTACAATACAAGTAAAAAAATAACTTTGTAATTGGAAAACATAAATTGGAGCTCTTAAAAAAAATCAGATAAAAGGCATTTATTAATGCAGTAGGCTACATAAATTTTTAAAATGTATTCCTTTAAAAATCAAAAGAGAAAAAAAAACCCAAAAAAAACTTCTCAAGGAATTTTTAATGCACCTGTCCTTATACTCTTTATATGAATTGAAAATGGCTTTATCATTTTTTTAAGCATTATTTTTAATTTAATTGACATTATTCATTTACAACACTCTATGAATTAAGTCCGATATGAGTCTCTTAGCAGTAATGGAAGAGTCTATTATGTGGTATATAGGTAAAGGTTTGCTTCATCAAAATATTCTTTTGTTTTTCAAAGGATCAAATGCAGAACTCGTAGATAGTCCATAACCAAGTATTCTCAAAATCTTGCATGTTGGTCATCCGAGATCAGTCTCTCAGTAGTAACGGAAGAGTAGTAGGTAAAGGTTTGCTTAATCAAAATATTCTTTTGTTTGTCAAAGGATCAAATGCAGAACTCGTAGATAGTCCATAACCACGTATTCTCAAAATCTTGCATGTTGGTCATCCGAGATCAATCTCTCAGTAGTAACGGAAGAGTAGTAGGTAAAGGTTTGCTTCATCAAATTATTCGTTTGTTTGTCAAAGGATCAAATGCAGAACTGGTAGATAGTCCATAACCAAGTATTCTCAAAATCTTGCATGTTGGTCATCCGAGATCAGTCTCTCAGCAGTAACGGAAGAGTCTATTATGTAGTAGGTAAAGGTTTGCTTCATCAAAATATTCTTTTGTTTGTCAAAGGATCAAATGCAGAACTCGTAGATAGTCCATAACCACGTATTCTCAAAATCTTGCACGTTGGTCATCCGAGATCAGTCTCTCAGCAGTAACGGAAGAGGCTATTATGTAGTAGGTAAAGGTTTGCTTCATCAAATTATTCGTTTGTTTGTCAAAGGATCAAATGCAGAACTCGTAGATAGTCCATAACAAAGTATTCTCAAACTCTTGCATGTTGGTCATCCGAGATCAATCTCTCAGTAGTAACAGAAGAGTAGTAAGTAAAGGTTTGCTTCATCAAAATATTCTTTTGTTTGTCAAAGGATCAAATGCAGAACTCGTAGATAGTCCATAACCCAGTATTCTCAAAATCTTGCATGTTGGTCATCCGAGATCAGTCTCTCAGCAGTAACGGAAGAGTCTGTTATGTAGTAGGTAAAAGTTTGCTTCATCAAAATATTCTTTGTTTGTCAAAGGATCAAATGCAGAACTCGTAGATAGTCCATAACCAAGTATTCTCAAAATCTTGCATGTTGGTCATCCGAGATCAGTCTCTCAGCAGTAACGGAAGAGTCTATTATGTAGTAGGTAAAGGTTTGCTTCATCAAAATATTCTTTTGTTTGTCAAAGGATCAAATGCAGAACTCGTAGATAGGCCACAACAAAGTATTCTCAAAATCTTGCACGTTGGTCATCCGAGACGACCAACATAAAATAATCTCAGCAGTAATGGAAGTGTGTTCCATAATGTTTTGTTTTATATAATTATCCTTTTGGTTAGTTGAGAATCTAATGAACCTTTCCATTAGGGAATGGACTTCTCGAGTGTTTGAATGCTGTCGTGGGGTCAAATCACTGCAAAAACAAATTTCTTCTCTCTTTAGATGAATGTGTCACAGGCCCTAAATTTGAAGACATATTTTTTGTAGATAAATTTTCAATCATAGAACTCTTTTTGGATATCTTTTCGAGTTTCTGGAGTCAAGGGAAGTTCTCGAACAACCAATGGCTTATGTACCCAAGGACCAGCATTCTTGAGCGAATCTAGACTGGGGTAAGGTTCTCTATCTCGGGTGTATGCAAGCCAAAATCCGTATCCAGCCAGGCCACCAACAAACCCAAAATAGGCACCAATGCTAAGTTTTTGGATAAATGTCAACTTGCTCATTTTGATTTTGTATGAATAGTAAGTTGTTTCCTTGGTAATTTTAACTCATCACCATTTAAAAAACTTATTTGATCTCTAAGGTGACCGATTCAACTAATTTTGTCTTACATATCAATAGAAATTACACACTCCGTTTTTTTTAGGAATTAAACTTTTCAGTAGTCATTTGCAACATAATGTTGATAGTTAATCAATAATTATTTGTTATTTATAAATTATACAGAGTTTTCCCAGTGGTGTTTCATTTAAATTTTAGTTATATTTTGTAATATAATTTTTAATTCCTTTTAAACTTTTATTAGTGAACATTACCACTCAAGCCTCCTACCTCTTAGGTTGGGATTTGACAATGATTTAAACATTCAACCCATTCACTTCCACAGTTGAGAGAGTGACAGTGATCGCTCGCTTCATGGACTCGACGCCCTTGAGAGCTGTGATGCCATTACAAGCAGCTCTGGCCAATGCCTTTTGTTATCTGATCTCGAGTATGGACGACCCTAACGTACAAGTGGCCCAACGTGCTACCCTCTATCTAGGAACTGTCCATGACACTGCTATGCAGGTAGGTTGAAGCTTTGACTTTATGATATTATACCCACTATCATCAATATAATCATATTATGATTATACCCACTACTGTGGCTTTAGTTGTTTTGAACAGTCATCTCAACAATTTATTGCTATGGGTTAATTTAGTACCACCTGTGTATGTGACTTACAATCTTCACCAACTAGGAGTGGTGGACATACTCCACATACAACCCCACCACTGAACTGTGAATGGAAGGGGTGCTCTAGGAATCTCTGGAGCCTAAACAGGGGAAGCAATAGATGATTTAGGTCACTGTACAACCTGAGTATTATAGTATCGATCAGTTGGGTTGAATGAAAATAGTGCTCTAACTTGAAAAAAAAGAACAGCATTTTACAAATTTAAAATGTGTCATCAAATTTATTTAGCAGATTATGCGTTTGATCAACTACATAAATAAAACATGTTTGATTGTTGTTGGAAGAAACTATTTTTGATAAAACTCGTTTGTTTTAGTCTCTTATCATGTGCTTGGAGACACAGTTTGATTCTGTGATTGTTGACCGTCCGATGGTACTTCAATCTATCTACCAACTCCACAACAGCCTCAGCGACCGCAAGATCCTTTCCTGGGAGTTCTTTTTGAATCGTTTCGATGCGCTCTTCCTTGAGGCTCAGCTCAATTTGGAAAAGACATCCGGAGATGTTTCTTACTTCAGAGGTGACAGCAAGAAAGAGTTTAAATGCTTTAACATTTAAAATTGTTTTTGGAAACTTTAGTTTGGTCTCATTCAGGAATGAATCTAATGAAAATGCTTAAGTGCAATTTTACTTCCAAGGCATAAAATCGTTTATGCCTTGGAACTTACTGCAATAGTAAGTATTGCATGTTTCTGCACAGTGGTGGCAATTAGGGGCGGGGGCTTGGGGGGATATCGCTACCCCTCTCTTTTGGAAGAATATATATATAAATGAATGCAATGCATAATACCACCCTATGATTTGCGGGTGGTTTTGCCGCCTCCCTCTTCTTTATTGGTCAATCTCCACAAAACTGTAAATCTCTTATACTTGGATTATTATGATACGGAACTAAGTACGGAAAACATGCACATCCTGATATTTTTAAACTGCTACGTTTGGCAGTCTTTGATGCCTTTCATTTTTCAAGTACAAATAAAAACTATTAGGACAAAATTGAGACATGAAAGATATCTAACTAGAATTTCTATAATATAATTAGAGTTTTCTGCTCAGTTAACTTCGATTACACATTCGTGTTTTGCCTCAAAACAGTGAGTCAGCATTTTAGTTCAGTAGTTTTTAATAATTCCAAGATTTCATTGTTCAAAAATTAAATAATAATCCAGGTGGTTCAGTTATTTAAAGATTCAGTAAAAAACCTATTTCCTACTCTGATAAAAAATCCCATTAATGGGAAAAACTATCAATCAATTTCACTACTTAAAAAAACAAAGTATCATGATCAAACATTATTTTTGCCCTAACTTGGACGGCTCTCCGCAGATCTGAGAAACACGGACATGAAGAGTGAGGTGTTCATACGCAAACTGCATCGAGCACAGGAGGCGCTCACTCAGTCGGATACAGGCTCCAGCAAGACACTGAGCGCAAGCTTCGGTCCCAAGTGGCCGTACAAGCGCACCATGTCTGCTCCAGCGTCCATGGTCCCTCGGCAGGACACCAAGGAGGGTCAGTGGTAGTGGTTGTGACTGTAATAGGACTTATGTCCTGAATGCCTACGTTTGACATCGTTGTCAATTACCAATGACTATTAGCTATATTGTAATAAAATGGTCTGGTGGTTAGGAGCATATTTAAGCTGTTAGTTCTTCAATATAGAGAAGAAAAAAAGAACAAGTCTCTCAGGCCAGAACTTTCTCTGAATTGGAAAATTTCCTGACTAGAAGCTACACTGAAAAACTAATGCTCTCCATGAAAGACCTGAACAGAAAAACAGGTTTTGATTTAAATTTAGTCGCTAGATGAAATTTTCTTGTATGAAACCATACTATTTATGCTGTACCGGTAGATAAAATATCGATCTGGATATCTCCCCTTTCATTAATAATTTTTCCTCAATAACTTTAGTCTTTCAAAATTGCTCTTAAAGTAAAATTACAAGGGTTCTCACAGTATTGTAAATTTTAAGCATATTCACTACACTATTCCTGTCTTTAAAAACATTTAGATTCGAAAGTTATTGGGATTGAAAAATAGTTTATATAAAACAAAACAATTGGGTTCAAATATTGCTTGATAAATAAATATTTTGACATCCATACGTTTAATTTATCCTCTTGTGAATTAAAAATTGTGTTCTTTTGTAACATGTGATTCAAGATCACAAAAAAATTCAACCGGCTCAAAAAATCTTTCTTTGCTTAAACGCTCAAGTTCTGGTTTGTACACAGAAAAGGAGAAGGTGTACAGCCGACAGTCGTCTGCTCCGATCCTGAAGCGGAAAAGTTCTAGATTTGGATTGGGTCAGTTCCTAGGGTGTATGCCCCAAAATAACACTGTACTGCTGCCAGGTAGCTATAGAATCAGCCCTGCATTGGTGTACCCGGGATCCTGCTTCGCATGTTAGCTGCATGGTCAATGATCTGGTCGATCGATGGTTGGTGTTGGGTGTTGGACGGAAAAAACTTGATGATTCTAGACTAATATCTATCGCTATGTGTATTTGGTTTTCACTCCTGGGCAATCTGGAATCAAATCTTTTACATGTGTGGTTTTCAGGATTAGAATTCTAGGATGTGGTAGGTGGTGAGAAGATGATAATAATACTCAACAGATGGTCATCTTTTCCTCTAGCGGTTTTCAAAGCACCAGTGACAAGTACACGTCAACGAAAATGCAACTCACTTCTAAGGAAACAATAATGCCTGCAAGAATTTGTCTTAGTCTTACCACATTGTTCTAGTTAGAAGTGATTTCAACGTTTGAGTACATTTAAGGACCAGGGCACCTTTAATAAATAGGCCCAGTGGACTGGGCTCTGGGGAGCAAGAGGTTTTAGGTTTGTGGAGGGTGCAAGGAAGAGGGAATTCTCCCACAAGGTAGGAGGAGAGGGGTGCAATGATCTTTTGGGCCCATAGTGTATCACATGCAAACCTTAGGCCCATTAAGTACACAGTGGTGGTTAAAGCTCTGGTTAGGGAAGGCAACTACCTTTCAGTTTCAGTGGAGGGCTGTAAAAATAAAAATATTTGTTTAACAATCTTCACTTTCAATTTCCCAAAAAGAAAATAATTTTTACTCTGAAACTAAATGTTTGCAATTTTATTTTAACTAAAAGTGGATTGAAATCTTTATTCTATAAACAATTTTCTGAACCAATTTTATTGTTATTTGTTGCTAAAACTTCATCTGCACAACCAGGAAAATTTTAAACTCATAGATCAAATTAATTATAACAAAAGAAACCCCTAAATAAATACAATTGAAAAAAATTAAAATAAGAATAGTGTTGAATATTCAGGGTACATTATAGCTGATCTTCCAGTCAATTAGAATAAAAGTGCAACCAAACCTGATGTAATGAAGGTATGAAGATTCAGTTGAAAATAGTTATGTTTTTTGTTTGGATAATTCAAATTAAAAACACTGCTTAGTAGAAAACTGAAATGAACAAATTGCCTTACAATTTTACTTGGTTTTTCTTCTAGGAAAAGTGTAATTTAATTTTTAAAATATATCTCTGAATTGTTAGTGCAAAAAAAGTATTTTTAAACGTTGGGATCCAATTTGTAGTAAAATTTAACGTTAGTTTCAAGAAAATTGTTTTTCTTTCTATCACGTTAGGAAGTATAAATTAGGTTTACATATTTTGTTTTGCATTGTTGAAACACCATTCTACTCTTCATTAAAAAGGTGTAATTTTTGTGTTACAGGAAATACAATTTAAACTGTTTAACATTCTACAGATAGTGAATGTGTTGTGCTATCGTAAGTTTGCAAATAAATTTCTAGTACTGTATGTAGTTATTACGATGTACTCACTTTTCAGTGATGTTTTAGGGACGGAGAGACGGTGACTGCGGCATGTTTCTACTAATGTTTATGTGATAAATCCCAATCAAGCATGGCGCTGTGTTACCTTGAAAAGCTACTGAATTGCTGAGAATGGGTTCAATAACACATGTTTTACTAAATATAATATATATATATATATATTAGTCCATATTTAAATAGCTCTACAGTAGCTTACTCTGTGGAAGACCCCCCTCTGAATGGCTTATATCCCTTCACATAAATGTGTAATATACCACAACACTGTTAAATAGAAGATAACTGTTTAGATTTGTCAAAGACAGATTATTGTAACTACCATACATTTGTAGCTTTACTAATACATTTTAGAATCGTAGTTCAGTAAATAAAGACAAATGTCGTGTATAAATTGCGTAGCTGCTAACTAATTCTGTCGGTAATTTGAAAACGAGTTTTGCTGCTTTAGGTGAAGTGTGGCTTATTGAAGATATGTTCCATTAGAAACCAAATAAATCACACCCTTTATCCAAAATAAATATGGTAGGCTACTCACCTTGATTAGATTTCAGAGTCCAGTCAGTAGATTTTTGAGAATTCATGGATTTTTTCAGTGTTAACTGCATGATGATAAAACTCATTCGTCAGACATTTTGCCTTTGTTGGTAGTTAAGTTATTGGCTTCCTCAGTAGCCTAACCACTGAGAATGGAATTTTACAGAATGTGCAAAATGTCTGGTAGTAAATTTTGTCTGACGAAATTGTTGCAGAACAAAATTAAGGAATGAGGCACTCATTTTGAGAAAATGTAGATCCATTATCAGTACTCATATAGTTTAGACTATATTCTTTCTTATCTTTTCTGTTTACCTGGGGATGTCGCTAGCTCAGTGTTTAGACTATGGACTTCTGTTTTAGAGGCTAAGGGTTCAAATCCCACCAATCACCAATAGCTTAAATATGTGACTGAGGTGAGACGAATAGGGATAGTTCTCATGAAAAATATTCCTTTATTATTGTAGAAATCTGTCCACTAAAAGCCATATGATATTTTTTTGATTCCGCTTTCTATTTACTGAACTACACATATTGCATTAAGAGGTTGCACTTAACGACTTTGGGTGTAATCTAGCTTTCATTGTACAATCCATTCGTTGGTGTTGGCCATTTTGAGTGTTTTGAGTGTAAGTTTTTCTAACTATCAAACAAATTCCAGGATGTTTAACGTATTTTCATGCTACGAGACATTTTCCAAAGATTCAAATATCGAATGGTTGTGTTCCTTTTGATGTAAATGTACCACATTATTGTTAAGATTATAAAACTACATAGAAAACTTATACACATAACACATACAGTATACAGGGTGTTCAAAAAGAATCATCCGATTTTATAGGTTTATAATTTCAAAACTAATGATCATGAGGTTAATTTGATATAAAATGATAACTCATAAAGTTTTTACATACCATTTAAATGCTCAATATGACCCCCTTTAGATGTTCACCATATGTCTAGGCAATACTTAATTGAATTCGTCCAACACCTTAGCTAGTATGTCTTAAGTGATGAATTTCAACTGCTCTAGTGCGGTTCTTCAGTTTAACCAACATTATTGGAGGAATATAAATAGTCTCTTTTACAAACCCCCCACACAAAGAAATCACAAATAGTAAGTTCCGGTGACCTTGGAGGCCAGTGACGTATTGCAGAATCGTTTGGTCCAGGATGGCCGATCTATCTTTTATAAAGCTTAACATTAAAAAAATATCTTACATGAAGATTCCAGTATGGTGGGGTACCATCATGTTTGTATGTAAAAAAAACTATGAGTTATCCTTTAATTTAAATTTACCTCATGTCCATATGAATGTAACGGTACGTATTCCTCTTGGAATACCTACTGTTACTTTGGGTGCCCTCCTATTACATGAACATTATTAGTTTTGAAATTATAAACGTATAAAATCGGATGATTCTTTATAAAACACCCTCTATTATTCATCTCTAGAAAATTTGGACCCAGGTATGGCATTGTAAACATATATAATCTATTCTATTTATATAATTTAAGATTTATTAACTCAATAAAATACTGTCTAAAATTTTTTTTATAATTTAGCATTGATATAAACTTATTATTTTTGGAACTTTAGTCTTGCCCTTAGTAATACAGAACAGACCCTTAGTAATCTAAGGTTTAATTTTAGAAATAATTAATTTTATAAAATAGGAGTAATCTTTTTGATCTTCTTTATTTTAATTCACATGAAACAATTATTAGGTCTAATGTAATAGTATTTGAAAGTGTGGTTTGCTGATTTCAGGATATTTAAACTAAATATGAATTTTAAAATATTAAAGCTATGGTTTTACTGATATTTTGATAAACTGAATTATTGATTGATTGACACACACTTGAAAATGTACATACTGTATACCAATTTTTTACAGGTTTTTTAGAGTTTGCTGTCTTCAAAAACGTAAAACAAGACGTTCATTAAAATTTTATGTTGAGTAATTATTTGAAGAAAACCCTATTTTATAAGTTTAGACACGTACATTAAGCCTTTTAATGATAAACTTATAACTAAATAATTTAATAATAATATTTTGTAGATTAGTTACAAAGCACATATTAGTTTGTATAGTAACATATAAGAGCAGCAAAGGAAAAAAAATAACAAATCGAAAATAGTCATTGCATAAAAAAAAATTTGAACTGTAAACATTATTCCTTAAGAGCCATTACAAAGTCAAATAACACCAATGGCTGAAAATGGTGTATTGTAAAACTAGTGAAGTGTAAATTGTGAAAATGAAGTGATTCAAAGAAATTCTGCGTTTCGACACCAGTTAATAAAAGAGTGACTAAAAATTTGAATTTTTAACTGTCTTTATTAGTTTCCTTGATTATTCTATCTTATACATCAACTTTAAAAACCGTAACAACATGTTTTATTTTCTTAAGCTCATTGCTTTCATTGGATCTCGACAAACACTCTCAAATGGCCTTCTGTATAGGCCTATACACCTTCCTTGTTATAGCTCATGTCATTATCTACCTTTAAGCCCGTTTTATGCAATCTGTCTTGGATTGACGTTTTTGGATTTCCTCTTAATCTGTTGCCTCGTTAATTATGCAAAATTGAAAAAAAAAAAATCTGTTTACATTCGTTAATTTCTTCCTTTGTTGCTTAAACATTCATAAGAACAAAATTGACAGTACTATTTTCATAATAAAAAAAACAAAACAAATACATTTACTAAATATGAAAGGTGATTGCGCACGTATTGTCTTCTCATTCACACGACAGTACCTCAGCATGTTGTCATAAATGTTGGATGTTCTATGTTTGATATGCAGATGGTTTACAGTAATCTTGCTCAGTACCCCAGATGATGCGTTTAGTAACGCAGTGTTTTGTTGTTTTACAGACGGACACATACACTCAATGAGTGCAGCTCCGGTGCCAGACGAAACTAACCTCGTCGGCTTCATGCATCGAGTTATCGATCTTGAGGAATCAGATCGAGAGACGATGCATCTCTTGGTGTTTCTGCTGATGCAGTTTCTGTCTCGTTCCGATCAGGCAAGTGATTAAGGGTTGAAGATACTGGACACAACTGTTCTTGATCGTTGGGATTTTAAGAAACAGTCCAGCTAAAGAACAGCTGGTCTTATGCTCCTTTCACACTATAGGTTTTCAACCGTCCAATTGAAAACAGTGCAATCTTATGATGAGTTTATGTTTCTTTCACATTTCATGGTTTCAGACTGTATGCCAAGGTGAATGTGTTTAAAACGTCACAATAAACATAAACAGTGTCAAATTGACAGGTCAGATTGTAAACAATAAACATACAACAGCTGATCTACTGTAGTTGCACTGGAATTTTACTGTTTGAAAAAAATCTATGCAGTATGAAAGCTTGCATTTAAATGTGCCACTGATGCGCGACCTTGGTGTGACAACCATACCGTTCAGTGGTAGTGGACAGCTGCAAGACGGCATGGGTATCTACCGGTAAGGGTATCTGTACACGGGGAACCGTGTAGTGAGAAAGCTCTCATGCTCTTCTTTACGCTACTAAAAAAAACATACCCACATGGTTTTTAACCGTTTGGCAGAAATCGTATAGTGTGAAAGGAGCGTTTGTCAGTAACTAAGCTACACAAGACATCTACCCAGTAAACACCACACTAAGCTTGTTATTCTTGTATTGTCCCACAAAGCTAGCTGCTCACTACATCAATGGTGTTTCATGTTTTGGCGGATAGCCATTTGCAAACACTTCAGTCCCTATTTATTTACATATTTAAATAATATAGGTTACAATAGAATGATTACAGTTGTGTCAAACAATTTCAAAAAATTGAGTACATTATTGTATGTTTACTGATTATAATTTATCTTATGTTTGATCAGGCTTTTCCTAGTGATGAGAAATCTCAGGCAAAAACACAAACAATTGTACTGCGCCACCTGTATCTACTGCTCGGTTACAACCAAAATGAACGAGGATTTCACATTCCTTCTCATCGTTTGCGGTGAGTTCACCAGATTTAAGCTTTCAAACTATTTTACACCTGAATGTACAGTAAAAAATTATAATAGCTGTCTTATCAACGGAGATTGTGTAAGCAGTTAAAGCTTTTGTTAATTCAATCAGCTGTTGATTTATTTCCCAAGTTTTCATTTTTCAAGCGATGCCGTAAAAACCAAATTACACACACAACCTTCATAAACTTAAAATGCGACAGTTTATTTACAGGTTTGATATAAGGTAGTATTTTGAACATGTAATTGAACATGTTGAAATTCACAATCTACCTTCCACTCCAGGTCCGCCAATCTAGATACAAAAGTAATACGTTTAAATTAGAGAGAACAATGTATTGTGGATCACATGATTCTCTTACCACTTTCTGTCGTCCGTACAGGCAGTCGCCAGTGTTCAACGTGTTCATCGCCAATCTGCCCCAGCTGCTGGACCAGAACCACCTGATGGGTTGGATGGTGATCCCCACATGTCTAGTGCTGCTGCAGTACTGCCCCTGTCCTCCCCACCACCACCCTCCAGAGTCCCCCCCTCACCCTCCCTACAGCCTGTGGTACCTGGAGCCTCACACTCGCCGCTCCTGGCTCATGTCCTTACTGGTCCTGTTGTACAAGGTGAGTTCTAGTTTAATGTCCTTATTTATACAGAGTTAAATATATATATATATATATATATTTATACACAGTACAGAAGTATTAAGTTTATAACAATACATCCTTTCATTTCCTAGTTTTAGTACTCTTCATTTATTAAATTTTTTTACCGAGATACTTTTTAGAATAAGATTACTTTCTCCACGACTAATACAAGTGACAATTTTGATTGCAGTACCAATACAACCAGCAGCCACTGTGCTCTCAACTGCAGGCTCTGGTGAAGATTGTGATCAACACGTTGGACTCCCAGCATCACGTATGTCGCAGGATACCTCCCACAGTTGTGATGGGGGCCCCCCCCTCTCGCTCTAGAGGTAATAATAATAGGATTACCTTGTGTGTTAACCTACATATTGTAAAATGTTTGTTCTTGAAATCTGCAATAGGATGAAATAGCTACCAAAACAATAATGCTGCTCACACTTTTTTTGTGTAAAGTGATAGTTAAATATTGTATATAACCTTTCACGTTTATATTATCCTGTGATTGTAGATGTGAGCCAACCATCCCTGGGAGTGGAGGGGGAACACGGAGGGATGGACACGCCCCCTCTCTCCCCCATGTACTCGGGGGCTGACGTGACTGGTCATGTAACCTCCCGAGGCAAGACCTCAGCCGTCTACCACCAAAAGTCCCCCAGCTCTATGGAGACTCACTGGGAGGAAGACGTTCACTCTCTCAAAGGAAAGAGACACTTAGAAGCTGGGTAGGTTACCTTTCAAATGAGATGCTTGTAGAAAACTTAAATATGCGAGGGGGCGCCTTATGAATTAGGTTTTACAAACCAAATATTGCTGAAATCATCAATCTATGCAACTCTAGTGAAATCAATTGGATATTAGAGTAAAAAAATTAAGATTGTTAGATTAAAGTTTAGGAAATTGTGGAAGGTAGTGTGCCAACGCTTTGATACTATATTTACCCTATCTTCGCTCTACAGATATTCTACTGAAGCAGAAGAGACAGAATCTGAGCTCGCTGCGATTCCAGAAAGTAAATCTGACAGCACAGCTCATGGAAGTTCTCAGGTTTGTTTATTTTAAAACTAACAAAAACTTTATATGAACGTGAAGCATCAACAATTGTGAGAGACCAAACTTTGCCAAAAGTACTTTCTCTGTGTCACTGAGTCCCATGTATTGGTAAAAAGTTCAGATCAGAATCAAAACAAAATACTCAAAGAAAAGAATTCTTCTCCAAATTGTTCCATTAGACTAAGGAAATAACTAATAAACATGTATTTTTGACTTATCCCCAAACTTATCGCCAATGAAAGAAATAAGGGCTTAAACTTGGTTAAAACATTTCCAGGTCAATAGACAGTTTGACACATATGCTGGTATGAAGCATAGGTGAACTGTGTCAGAGGGGAACTAGGAAAATTCTTTAGCTCTTAAAATATTTTTAGGCTAAACTAATAACTACTGCACAAGCATTATCCATAAAAGTAATCCATATTTACTAGATGGATTAAACCTGTTATATCTATGTACTGATTACAATCATTAGGGTTCATTTGAGGAAGATCGAACGGATGATCCAGATGGCAAGAAGAAAGGCAATGACGGATCTAGCAGAGGCACACGACCAGTGTGGTTCTTAGGCAGTGACGATCATTCGATCCAGGTAAGTTGTCTTCATGACGAAACTTAACATTTTCTTGACCTATTAATGAAATAAAATAAACTATCATTTGGTTTTTGGAAAAGGAGATTTTGAATAAAGATACAGCTTACCTCACCTATCAGATCTTTATTTGTTTATTTTCTGGAACCTACAGTTCCAGCCACTAAAAATATTTTTCACATAGCTTTCAGCAAAGCTGACCTCAAGTTATGATTGGCAGAAATCCAATCTAAATATTTCAGTTGGATAGCTGATTTTGTGTTTAAAGCGTGGTAATCCTAACTCCACCAACCAGCAATGGCTTTGAGCCACGTAAAGATACGATGATTTGGTAGTTTGGAGCCAACCTAAATCTGTCGGTACAGCTATCAAGTAAAATACATTAAACTCTCTTCAACAAGGAGTTCCAGTTTTGTATCTCTTTCAAAAAATCAACAAATTTTAAACAACTGAACTTACTCTGTCTCACATACATTCAACAGTTAAATCTGTAATTTCCAGAAGAGTAATGGGTCCGGCCTCGCTGGTCTGGCAGGCAAGTGGGGGGTGAAGGAAGGGATGAAGATGTTAGTGACGTCGTCTCTGTTCTCGGTAACTCCACCAAGCAAGATAGTCCCACCCACCAGCCCCGCCGAGATGTCTAGCAAAACTCCATCTGCGTCCACCCCCTCCATCCCAACAGTCAGGGAGGGACCTACACCGGTCTCTCCCCATCATCCACCCCCACCACTGACACTCAAGTGAGTAAATGGTATTTCAGAGTGTACCGAAAGTTCAATATTTGTTACCTTAAAAAAATATGGTTTTAACTCCTGGAGGGGAGATTGATAGGGCTTAAACAGCATCGTTAAATTCTTGCTGATAATCTGTGATTTCTTATGAAAAGTAGATAAAGAGCAATTGCAAAATTACACTGATTCTGAAAATAGCAGTGTCGGCTGTCTCTCTTAAAAGTGTAAATTTTTTTACGATTATCTACTTGTTTAGTCTGAGCATAGACATAGACATAGAAGGATAACAGATAATTTTTATCTACATTATAGGGTTCTCAAAAAAATCATCCAGTGAATAAGTAGGCTTTTTAAATTATTTTATCTTTTATTTTATCTCTGTTTGCATTGAGTAGCATTTACATTTTTTAGATACTAAGGAGCATACAATCAACAAGTGTTGTCCTAGCTTTTCCTGGATAGTCAGTTGTTCTGCACATGTGAGGCAATACTACAATTTACCGCCGTCTTGGATTTCGCTTTGTGAAATGATATATCATTTATGTATTTAAATTTATATTAAATTGTGCTCTGGTATTTGGCTTTTAGACCTTTTATGGTAAAATTGGTAACTGACAGTGAAAGCCAGCATACTCATTGAACACTATTTCTTCTTTTTCATTCCACTACATCTTAGTGAATATTGTAGCAATACAAGGTTTTACTACTGGGGAAGAGGTATAAGGAAGTTTTTTCTGTCGGTTAACTAGTTTGAGAAACAAAGTTTATAAACCATTAACTAGTGTTAGAGGCTCATTGGTAGAGTTTCTACAAACAACTAATATGAATTGAGTTCCAAAGGCCTACCTTGGAGAAGGATAGGTCGCTGGAGAAGGACACAGAGTGTTGGCCGGACAACTCGCAGCATGGGTCACCCGTCCCTCGGCCAATGGGAAGAGGCAAGCGAGCACCGGAGGGAGGGAATACCCCCACCTCCACCTCCTCATCTACCCCCACCCCTACCCCTACATCGCACCCTCCCTGGCAGATAGATGGACCAGGAGCACACTACAAGGCACATTCCACTCTGCCCTGTCAAGAGCGACTGCTGCACACAGGAAACTCAGGGAAACCAGGTTTGTTTTGTGAAAATTACATGATATGTTACAAGATTAATTACCATCATTGTGAGTTTGATCTAATAAAATGCCTTTTGTATAGACTTCATTGATAAATGAGTATTAAAAAAATTCTGCATTGAATGTTTACTTAAATTTTGCTACAACTTCTTTTGTAAGGAAGAAGTATTAAACCAGTTATGTGTTGTGGGATTATAATCCATTTATGAAACGGTTTTGTTTTATCTGATAAACGCAAAAGATTTACTTACATAGGGACTCACACAAGTGTATTTTTTCTACCAGTTTGAAAATAATGCTAGATAACCAAACTCCCAGAGTATTTAAAAACATTTTCTAATAGTTTTGGAAAATATTTCTGTTATTCTTTTATACAATTATATTCTTTTTGTAGTGTGCAAAGCGATGATCTCTCGGCGCCAAGAAGAAACGACAAACTACGGCTCGCCTGACTCTCCTCTTTCCAAGATGGACGTAATATCAGTTGGTTAGTATGAATGCATTGCTTATTTTTATCTCAATATGAATAAATTACAAGTGTGAAATCCAGTGAGATGACTTCTCCTTTTTTACTGACAAAGACAATGTTTAGTATAGAAATAGTATATTACGTTACTAGTCCTGAAAATAGGTGTTTACCGGACGAGTCTGGTTGTTCCCGTGCGTGTCAAAGTCGAGTGGGGGATTGCCATACCAGTCCGGTAAACACATTTTGGAGTGACGTACAATATTTTATGCCATACTACACTAAGCCAACTTCTGTGCAAATCCTTACATGTTCCCACCGACTAAAGAACTAACAATCACTAGGCCTACTCATAACCTATTTTGGTTTATAAATCATTGTCAAATATAATCAGCTGGTTAGTGTCCGGTAAAAAACTGGTTGTGTACATAATGAAACCCCATTTTATTATGCTGGCGGCAAACAGCTGTTTTCTGGACTAAATCCTTGCGTGGGAAGCTGGTTAAATCATTGTAGTGTGGTCTAAAAGTTCATTTACTAATGACAACTGAGTTCATATAACGCTGAGTCTATGTGCGTGTAGAGTCACCACAAGAGAGTCAGACGGACTCAGTACAGAGTGTCTCTCATCTAGAGATGCCACCACAAGAGAGACTGCTGCCTATCGGCTCATCTGTGCCTGCGTTGGTGCAACATGTTAGACAAGCACTGGGCGTCAACTCCTGCGACCTTGGTGAGGGAAATGCATCATAAGAAGTATAGAATAAGTTTTCTGTTCATTAACCAATAATTACAGTGACATTGATATAGCCAATTGAGAAAAGATTTTGTTAGATGTGAATTTTTTGCAACGTTTTTTGTACTTTTTTTTTCATTGAAACTTCAACTAATTTTGTTGCATAGGCTTTTATGGGGAGAATTTCTAAAACAGAGAAGTACCTCCTTGTTTAAGATAGATATCAATTTTTAGTTCTCTGGATAGGAAATCCTACATGGCTAAAAGCTGTTGGTGATAAGCAGAATTTGAATTCTCTGGGGCAGAAGCTCCATACACCACTATATACTGGTGTTCATTTGAAATCATTGACTGTAATGAATCTCTTCCCAAGCCAAGTTACACTACATTTCAAGAATAAAATATATTACTCTTTTATGAAAATGTTACATCACTTTAATGTTCACCGTATATTCACAAACATCCGCACAACATTTATGTAATTTTGGATGATTTATTTGTTGTAGAGCGCAAAGCTTCCATGGACCAAGGTCCAACAAGGTCCCCGAGTGACATAGACTCCTTGTCTTACACCAAACAAGACAGCTTTGAGAGAAGCGAACCGCTACAGGTAACCAGAGTTTGAAGTTGTCAATATTCAATTTGAAGTTTGTAGAATATATGTATTGAAGTATATGATTTCACTAAATTTACATCATGCATGAAGTGTTAATTTTTGTAGCAATATATGTAATGAAATGTACTTCACTAAATAATTGCTATTGTCGCAACTAACTGTGTCCAGACTAGCCGTAGCATCAGTCCCCGCAGACTCATCAAGCAAGTCGCGTTGGAATCCCCACCACCTACCAACCAACCTGATCATGATGCTGGCTTTTTCCGCAAACCCTCCTCAGGTACTTGGGCAAACCATGTACATATAATAAATTTTGAGCTTGTTAAGATAAAATTACCATTTTGTACGTTTACAGATGTATTTAAACCCCTTTAATACATACCTTGCCTAATAATATTGTAATGATATTTTTGTTTGAAGTTTATAAAAATAAAAATGCCATACAGATAAGCAAGTAAGAAATGTGCTACTGTAAACTATATAGTTTTGCTGCAAAATTGACAGTACCGATAATGTACGGTTTATTTTTAATTTTAAATATTTAGAATCGATACAATATGTTTTTTACTGGCGTTTCTTTATGTTCAAATGGTAGGTACACAAGTGGCTATTGTTATGGATAAAATTGATAATATATTAAACAACTATAGCTAAAGTAGACAGCCTTTGATTATTGCAGGAAATTATGTGGTATTTAAAAGGTTTGACATTAAATTGTTGTTGTTGTGGTAAAGATGACATTTACATCGCTTTCAGGCAAAGTATAGACAGCATTTTGTACATTTGATTATCCATTGAAATCTTGAACACCAGATTATATCTTGAAAATTTACAGGGAAAGCAGACGACAAAGACAGGATGCAGAAGTCAAAGGTGAGGAGACAGGTTCCGTTTGCGGCATCGGCCGGAGCTTACAACGTTTCCGACAGCTCTCGTAGACCTACCTCCTGGTGTGGGGCGCAGCAACAATCCCTCCTCAACCCGGCTACGCAGCAAGCCTGTCATGCTGCGTTTGAACTGAAGCAGAGCTCCTTCAGAGTGGGCGAGGACTGTGTGTACGAGAGGTGAGAACCAGTCAGTTCATCAGGACCCTCAGGAGTCTCAGTTCCTGTGTTGCAGGTCTAAGCTATAGATTGTTTTTTGGGAAGGAGGTTATCAAGTATAGAAGTGGTCCATCATGTCACAAGGAACACAACACCTCTAAACTCTTCACAGTAATTAGAATATAGAATAGAAATGATAGAATTATTCACCAAGGTTGAGTAAATGATAAGGATATCTTCAGGTACAATGGAGGCTAGGAAGTTTCTGGGAACATTATTATACTTATATTTCAACACATAATTACAAAACCTAGTACCATATTTAACTCATTTTTACTCAACAAATAGTTTTAAATCTTAGGTCATAGTCATGCTGTCTTGGGAAAAGTGTGTTTCCTTAAGTTTTTACTTTTTTCCCATCTAGGTAAGCCTGCTATCATAACTAAAATTCTAATGTATGCTCCTGTGCCCGATCTTACATCATTAGTCTCCAACAAGAAAATTTGTATATTAACAAATTCAATCCAGTGTTTTTACAAAATTTACCACATAAATTAAATGTGTTTCTATGAAGGTGTGGCGAGTGCGGAACAGTGAGGGAAGAGTACAGCGATGAGGAACTCGGACTGTGTATCGTCATTCTGGGGACCTTCATACACAGAGAGCCTGCACTGGCAGCACCGCTGCTGCCTGACATACTCACCATCGTGGCCAAGTGAGTAACTGAAAAATATTTATAAAAAATTGAATTCATTAGGCTACCAGCAATAATTTTCCTATTCAAACATCTAAAAAGTTCTTTTAAGCCGTTTTGTTTCAACTCTACTACTGTTTTACACCAGGCTTGCGATGAGTGCCACTTACCCCTGGCAGTGTGAGAGCAACATGTATCTGCCAGGCGGTGCTATCAGTGTGGCGCATCAGTTCATCCGCTGTGTTCTACACCAGCTGGCACCCAATGGAGTGTTTGTGCAGATGTTCCAGACACATGTGTCAGGTGCTTAAATAGTTGATTTTTAGTATTTTCAATCCTTGTTTAGTACAATGTATATAATTATTCACAATGAAAGATTTAAATGTAGTTATATCTGAATTTGTTTTTGATAAACCTCCTATGGATTCTATAAATTGCTAATTTATATTGCTGTTTTTTATTATATTTATCCATGTGTTTCAGATTCCTCAAGGATGCAGTTTTTCAGAAGCGTTGCTCAAGCTCTTCTAGATTTCAATGAGCTTAACCCCATTGCACCTCTGCAGTTGCTGTTAGAAGTGAGTCGTTGTTTTACACTGTTCATGTACATCCAACAAATAGGTCTCAAGACTTATTTTCAATGCATTTAAAGCCAATGATAACTTACTTGTAGCGAATAGTGAATAGGCCTACTATATTTATCTATTCTATTTAGTTCCACTTATAATATTACATTTTATTGTCTGTTAACTGTTATGTTTTCTGTGATGTTTTGTGGTTGCAATTAGAGGGCGTTTCTCATCAATAAGTGAAGGGTGTAAGTTTCATAATCAATCCAGGTACTTGATACAATTATTTACAATCTCTTTCATCAGTAAATTTCTAGAGTTATCAAAACTAGTACAGAAGGTCCATACTTTCCTGCAGTGTCTTAGTGGAATTTTATCTTCTCTGGTATTTTTTTAGACCAGTGGTTGTATTTTTGCTACTATGCAGTTTTATGGACAACCATGAACATGTTAATTTCCTATAATTTTCATTCCCCAGCCCTCCTCCCTTCTCATGCATTTCAAAGGTTCTACATTTCATTAGGTCTACTAGTGTATTTTTCTGAATACGATGCTTTATTTTGCCAACGGCAGGGCCGTATTTCCCTAACGGCGGACACGGCGGTTGCCGGGGGCCTCGACCTAGAAGGGGGCCTCACTTGGGGCCTCAAATATTATTTTCTTGATGAATTTATTTCACTAATCATCTTTTTCGCAGCGATAGCGGGAGCTGTTGATGAAATTTGAGAGACCGCAAAAGATCCTCGCTATTTCCCCGTTAGCGTAGGAGTTGTCTCTATTCGCCCGTCATCGCGGAAGAAGTCCAAGATTGTATCCCGACCGCGGAAGACGATGATGGCGTTTACACGGCCACGGGAAATGAACTTGATTTTGCCGCGATAGTGAAATACGATGACGTTTGCACGGCCACGGGAAATGAACTTGATTTTGCCGCTATCACGCAAGACGACGATCACGTTTTCGAAACTGCGGGAGATGTTCATGATTTTGCCGCTACCGCGAAAGACGATGATCACGTTTTTGTGACGGCGGGAGACAATGGTGATGTCCACATGGCCACGGGAAATGAACTTGATTTTGCTGCTATCACGCAAGACGACGATCACGTTTTTGGAACCGCGGGAGACGTTAATGACGTTTACACGGCCGCGGGAGACGTTCATTATTTTGATTCTATCGTGAAAGACGATGATCACGTTTTTGTGACCACAGGGGACGATGATGATGTCTAGATGGCTGAGGGAGATTTTCATGATTTTGCTGCGATCACAAAAGACGACGATCACGTTTTCGAGAACGCGGGAGACGATGATGACGTTTACACGGCTGCAGGAGATGTTCATGATTTTGCCGCTATCACGCAAGACGACGATCCCGTTTTCGAAACCGCGGGAGACGATGATTGTGTCTACAAGGCTGCGGGAGATGTTCATGATTTTGCCGCTATCGCACAAGACGACGATCACGTTTTCGTGACCGCGGGAGACGATGATGATGTCTTCACGACCACGAGAGATGTTCATGATTTTGCCACTATTGCGCAAGACGACGATCACGCTTTCGTGACCGTGGGAGACGATGATGATGTCTACACAGCCGGCCAACGGTACTTTTTTCCTTCTTTGATCTTTCCCAAAAGATTTTCCCATAATTCTATAAACATAGAAATTAACATAGCGCTTTTCTCCCATCACAGAACCTCAACTCCAAGAAGTCGCTGTGTCCTGAGCAGTTGCCAGTGATCCTGCACAACACTGCATGCTATCTGGACTGTTTGCCGCTAGAGGCCGGGCTAGGCCCAGGGGCGTCCACGTGGTCTGCCCTCCTGGCACAGCTGGAGTTGCTGTTCCGGCGCATCGTGTTTGTAATGTACTCTCTGTCAGATGTGACAGCGCTGCTGCGCATCATGGTGTCGGTGCTACGAGTGCCCGGCGTCCAATCTACCAAGGTAATTTGAAATTGTAATTGGAAATTTGGGAAAACAGTGGTAAGTTGCTTTTTTTTAGCATTGACTATCAACTTAGTTGAGTCAAACACTTAACATTATGGTGTCGGTGCTGCTATTGTCTGGCTTTTAATATACCAAGGTATAGGAATGTGACATGTGTAATTGGTAATGTAGGAAAATAGTTCTACGTTGACATAGTTCAATAACATTCTGTTCAAGGGTACTGCTAGAAAATTGTATAGGGTGACTTACTGGAAGGTTTGGATTTGCAGAAATGAGAATGGTCCACAGACATTTGTTGGAAATAAAATGTTTCAAAACATGGGTTTAATGTTTAGGTAATTTTTCAAGATTTTGTACACAAAAACTAGTGTAGTCAGAAGTCACTTATACTAAAAAAAATATGTCTACATCATAACTTTATAAATTATCTCTGCCACTCTTGGTTGGCACCCATGATTGTGTTACAGCCTTGCACTGTACCACTAATTAAATATCAAAAATAGACTTCTTAATCTACTGCAAAATCTGAGCGACTTATGATGTTTCAATACTGGTATTGTTTTTCATACGCTGAAGTTGATTATATGTTTCTAATAAAAATCGATAAATTATATGTTAAATCCATGGTAAAAACGTAAGCAACAACATATCAGTAGCATTTTGATGGCTAGAACCTGTCTTTCATCATTGTGTCAAGGAATAGCTGTTCTTAATTCAGTAAAAAAATAATCCTATACATGTTGTCTTGTTCAATTGTACACTCACATCTTGATTCACAGTTAGATGAAAATATACACTTAATGTTTGCGTAGTTTTAAAATACTTTGTGGTAGGACACTAGTTTTATGGGTCTTACATTATCCTGTCTAGTTCATACACAATCATCTCATTGTTTATTAACTTAATGTGATTAACTATTTTGTTTCAGGGAATCCTTGACCCGTTCTCAAAGATACTCGCATATGGAATCCAAAACTGCTCGATTAAGTACCACTATTTGATAGATCTTTGCTACCTCTGCAATCGAGCATTTACTCGGGTGAGTAAATAGTGTAATTAAATGAGATTCACAATTTTATATTTTTATGTACTTTATTTTATGTACTTTTACAAATTTTTTTAACACTTTACCAACTGATATCATTTTTGCAATCTAGGAAAGGGAGAAGCAGGTTTTGACTAGAGTGGTGGTTTTTGAGCTCGTTCAAGCTATTAAGTTCAAAACAGCGATTCCAGACTCAAACTTCTTGATGCTGATCAACTTTATACTCCAGGCAAGTTTGAACAACTTATTAAACCTCTGTAATTTTACCTTTAACTTTATTTTGTTACAACAAGTTAGCCATCCCTACTAAGAACTAGGAGTCCTTTCTTTGATTAGTACTGTAATTAAAATGAGTCAATGTATGTATTATCAGTTAAAATGAGTGTGACATCTATAACAGGGACAACCGTACAATTATAAATCCAGAAACTGAAATGTATCTTACTTTACTATTGGTCACTCAAACCATAAAAGGTTTTCAGTTTCGCCAACAATTTGCCTCCACCTCAGCCTGTCTTGAACTATTTCCTCCAATAATCCTGTTCCTCATGTCCTTGTCTAGTACTTGTATCCCAAAGGTCTTCTTCCTGCTGGATTTCATAACTTGGATTTTTATCCATGTCCTCGTCTCTCCTATTAAAAAGTCCTGCCCACGTGAGTAGGCCTAGTCTTGATTTTTCTTCAGCTAGTCTCTTCTCTCTCTCTCTCATCTCAGTCTCTTCTCTGAAACAACTCTCTCTTGCTTAGTACTAGATTTTCAAAAACTATTGTACATTTTCCTACTTTCTTTCCACTGTTTCTTTTGTTTGTACGTGCGAGACACAACTGACATTTACAAAGTTTTGTTCATCCCAATAACACCTATTTCCATTTAATCCTTGTCTTAGTGTCGGTTCCTTCCTTTTTATCAATTGTTACTCCTATGATGGGGAGCGAGCTGGCGTAGTGGCTAGAGTGCGGGACTTCGGTCCGTGAGGTCCCGGGTTCGATCCCCGCCAAGTCACCAATGGATTTGATCTAAGTGATAATGCCGCAACCCCTAGGTCTAGCCTGAAGTAATGTGAAAAACAATCCCAGGCTCGTGCCTGGCGTCCTAGGACAAAAAAAAAAAAAAAAAAAAAAAAAAAAAAACTCCTATAAGTATTTGAATTCTTAGAAACTTTTTGAATTTATATACTTGTATTTTAAGAAAAGCCAAGTGTCTGATAAGGAATTTTTTTCAAAGGGATAAACTTCAGTCAGCTTCCCCAAGAACTAAGAAAACAGGGGCTAAATCCTTTTCAAATAAATTTTTGAATTTATTTGGGTTTTGTTTAAAAAATGTATATAATAATGATATAGTCAAATTATTCCTTTTACTTCATTTTTGTTGTAACTAATATTTAAAAATCTAGTTGTAACTAATTTTTAACCATTTAGTTACTTATAACCACAGCTATACAGGAATGACAGAAAACTTGTAGCCACTAAATATTTACCAAAAAAGTCGAACAATGACAGCATTGGAACAGTTTGAAATTTATAGAGCCACCAAATTTGACACAAACAACCTGCTAAATGACAAAACACCGTGCACTCCAACATTCTTTTTGAAACCATTATAAAATTAGACGATAGAACAAACAATGCTGCACTCGCCACGTCATCAGGACAAAGGTCAGATCACAACCAACTCTTGACTTTAGTTAAATCTCGACACACGTCAGGAGCACCTCCATATCGTCCTGCCGGTGCACACGTTAGGAAAGAAAAACGATGCTAAATAAACTTTGAGTGTTTTTTATGTTTGTGTGTTTTATTTGTAAGCTTTTGATGCATATCTTGAGGGAAGATTAGTTCTTATACGGAAATTACGATAGCGTTCGAGCCGAAATGCGCATAATCCATTAAGGACAAAACTTGGACCACAAGGCGATATCAGGTAACATAACCATTTTTATATGTATTCCTTTTCCTAGGACTCTGGTGGCATCCTACCACCCAGTGTGGCTATGGAAGGCAACATGCCGACTCCATACATGGACGGGCCTGTGATCAACACAGGGGCTGCTGATTGTATGAGACAACATCTCAACGATGCTCTGGACTTTCTCTCAGACTTCCACACACTTGGCAAAATAAAGGTGGGCACAATGTCATCGATATTTAGATACTTAAGTTTTGTTAAGGAAAGATTAAGAGAATTTTCAGGTATGCAACAGTTTTTGGTGAGAGAGATAAGTACAGAGTAAAGTAAATCTTGATTAATTTTGTCAAAACTCAATACATAATGTCCTCATCAAAGATGAACTATTATCAGCACTTACTGCATTTGGTGGATCACGTAATAAACAATCAAATAGAGGCAAATTTAAATATTTGAGGCCCCATTACTTTTCTCCATTGGTCCTCTTTCTACGGTCCCTCATTTACCTCCATGGGCTATTGTATCAATTGGGTATTTCATGTCTTTTTTCAACCTTTAAAACTTCAGAGATTTGTGTTTCACAACCAATTATCTCATGAATAACTCCCTGTAAATTCAGCTGCCTTTGGGCTAGCACCCTCAGCCACTCCTTAAATCAGCCACAGTCCAATAATTAAAAAATCTTGTATATTTTCAGAGTTTCTGTAAGGGAATGCCAGTGGGACTTAACGAGGACACTCTCGGAGGAACGCTGAAGAGTGGAATTGCACAGTTTGTGGCTCTAGAGATGATGAGAGGTAACAACCGAGACAACAGAGCGGCCGCGAGGTGTCTACCTTGGCTCTACGGGACTACTTCTCTCCAGCAGGGGTAATGCGAGAGATATATATCATCTGATTCTTAACCATACAGTACAATATTGTTTTTAGATTCTTGATAAACATCTACAAAGTATTGTGCTACATTATAACAGAGTTTAATAATTGGTGCAAAATTGGAACACTGATAGTCCTTATTTTCGTTGGTTAATGGTTACCATCAAACATGAAAGGCAGGAGTGGACCTGTTTAGCTATTTAACTCTTAAATGAGTCACACTAATTCTAATTATTACATAATTGTTCAGACTTTAGACCAGCTGTATGTAGTACAATGACCCAACCTATTAAATGCGTACAGTGTTTTTCGACTTCCCAGACCGAAACTGGACTGCTCTCTTTGGGACTTCTACAAAAAAAAAAAAACAACATATAATATCCCCATTACCCACCTTCCAGATCACACAAATTATGTTTCACTCATTTTTGTAGAAACAAAAGTCTGAATTAAGGGTTAAAAATATTGAATTATAGAAAATTATAACTATTTTGCTAAAAATGATCTGCAGCCCATTTACGAGCTAAAGGTGTATAGTTATGAAATAACAGGGCTCATTTAAGAGTCAATAGCTCGTAAAAAAAAACTTTATAATGGCTTGTTGAAGAGAATCATACCATTAATATAAATATATTTGTGTTGTGGGTTTTAAAATAAAAACTCTTTGTGAATTACTCCTTTGAAGTAGAGTTTGATTTATGAAAATAGTGTTTCATTTTGCCTATCAATCTTTCCCTGATTTAATTTAATATTTTCATATTTGATTAGATTTTGTGTGACGCTGACATAATTTTGCGTATATTTTATGGTCAAGATATGAGATGACAGATTTGTTTCTAAAATCAGCTTCTTCTTTAGCTAGAACGATTAATTTAAAGCCCAGTGATCAAGGAAAACCAAGTTTTGACACATCAGAAAGCTGTGATAGAAGCTCTGTTACTGTTCACAGACCCAGGGAGTTCCTGGACTGTGTTGGCCACATCAGGTTGTTGTCCTGGCTGCTGCTAGGCTCTCTGACACACACTGCGCTGCATGCCAACGTATGTACGCCAGTGCCTCAGGAGGCTTCGTGTCAGATAGCTGACCATGTGCAGATCATCATGGCTGGGTTTGCAGAACAGCCGAAGGCCTCTGTACCTCACATGTCGTCTTTGTTTCACGCCTTCGTGCTTTGTCAGGTAATTTTAGAAGCATTCAATTCATCGTTTTGGGATTTTGTATTCACAAGTTTTAGTAGAATGTAATTAACTCATAGTATTCACATGGTTTTTAACTAGAGAGGTTTTTCCAATTAGAAGTAAGACTTCCATGCTCGTTGTGACGCTTGCGTCACAGCGGCGACGCATCAGACGGTTAGGATCAGCTGATTGCTGGAGAACGGGGGAGGGGGTAGGAAGCGCAGAGACAGAGCACAGTCGTGTTCCATAGTCAAGAGGGTGTAGGCGCCATGGTCAAGACGGGACTCCACCGCCGATTGATAAGTTTACCTTAGAATAAGTAATATTAAAATATGTTCTAATTTTTTTTCAGGAAGGGGGGATTAAGGGGTTAGGGAACTATTAATTATTTTAGCTTAATATGTAAATTATATTTAGAGCACACTCGTACCCTTAAGGTACGAGTGGAAGTTTTCAATGTTCTTTTCCTTATTATATTTAATTAGATGCATTAGAAATTATTAGATCATCAAAATGGCTGTGATATGGATGTGGTTTGGCTCAGTAATTAATTTTAGATCTTTATTATTCAACTCAGAATGTCGCTAGCAACACCAGATTGATTATATTGAGCCTTAACGATCCTTATGAGTCCAGTACCGTTACTATAAACTATAGTAACACGCTTCAGAAGCCTCTATATAACTATAGAGAAGAACTATAGAAGCCTCGCAGACGGATAATTTACCAATAAGTGCTGAAGTTTTGGTCTTGTTGCATACAGCCATTTTTGCAGGAGTTCACTGGAACTACTGATTTTACAGTGATTTTTAATTTATATAAACTTACGTTAGATTTTAAGAACTTTGTATTTATAGAATGTAAGAACATATTGTAATTTAAAAACATGCAAGAGAGTGACACTATTCATGTACTTTAGTGCTTTAATGAATAAAGAAATATTAATTGAATATATGTAGCATCCAACAATTGAAGCAATGATATTCTTTAAAATGTACCTGTATCTTGTTTACTGCTTTATTTGACAATTTATTTTCAGCTGTGGACGGTGTATCTGGAGCAGAATGCTGCTGGTAATCTTCCCTCTACCGAAGCTCACTCCACCATGGTTGGCATCCTGTTTGACTTCTGGGGCAAGGTGACGCCTTGTGTGCTGCAAATGGTGTCCCACTCCAAAGTGGTGAGAGACTGATGAGCTGTTTCTAGTAATATGTTGACAAAAATGAAAAATTTCATGATATATTTTTTAATTTCTCGATTTAAATGGATAAATAATAATTTACATGATTTGAGATTGAATAAACCAAAGTTTCCTGTGATTCTGTAAACTATGTAATCTTAATTGTTTTAAAGTTGAACCCAAAATAGTGATTTTTTTTTTCTTTTTTATAATGATCTTTGTACTTTTCCCATAGCTGGCAGAGATGGTCAACCTGCATTTCCTCAGCCTGTTAGAGGGACTTTTAGAATGTAACTCTGCAATTCTGAGCAAACTGCTGCCCATCTGGAGTCCTGTTCTCTTTGCACATTATATCCAGGTATCTTAAAACTTTTGTAATTTGATAATTGATCTATGTTTTATTAGTAGTAAAACTTAGGAATGGCTCAAATAAGCAAGTGCTAAGCTTGGTTTCTGATTAGCAAGCACAGATATACTGCACAGTGTATATATTGATTGTTAATTTGTTGCTGTATTTCCCTAGCTCCCAGGACATCTTCAGCTGAGGCTGCAGGGTTGCCGCAACCTTCCCCCCGTCACACAGTTGGGCCAACCTCAGGCTGAACGAATTCACAATCCACAACTGCTGCGGTGGTTGCAGCGACTGCAGTTCAAGATGGGTCAGATAGAGTTGCAATCCTCCGCAGCAACACACTTCTACTCCATCTAGACTGATGTCTGAGTGTATACACAACCCCTAGTTGCTGCGGTGGTTGTAGCTGCAGTTCATGATGCGTCAGAATTGTAGTCCTCCACAGTAACAGATTTATACTCCATCTAGACTGATGTCTGAGTAGTATATACACAACCCCTAGTTGCTGCAGTGGTTGTAGCTGCAGTTCATGATGCGTCAGAACTGTAGTCCTCCGTAGTAACAGATTTCTACTCCATCTAGACTGATGTCTGAGTAGTATATACACAACCCCTAGTTGCTGCGGTGGTTGTAGCTGCAGTTCATGATGCGTCAGAATTGTAGTCCTCCACAGTAACAGATTTATACTCCATCTAGATTGATGTCTGAGTAGTATATACACAACCCCTAGTTGCTGCGGTGGTTGTAGCTGCAGTTCATGATGCGTCAGAACTGTAGTCCTCCGTAGTAACAGATTTCTACTCCATCTAGACTGATGTCTGAGTAGTATATACACAACCCCTAGTTGCTGCGGTGGTTGTAGTTGCAGTTCAAGATGCGTCAGAACTGTAGTCCTCCGTAGTAACAGATTTCTACTCCATCTAGACTGATGTCTGAGTAGTATATACACAACCCCTAGTTGCTGCGGTGGTTGTAGCTGCAGTTCATGATGCGTCAGAATTGTAGTCCTCCACAGTAACAGATTTATACTCCATCTAGACTGATGTCTGATGTTCAAAACAGGTCTATCTAGGTAGATGTTAGATGTTAAGTTACTATGTAAGTTACATCTTAGACTGAGTTTTTTGCATCAAATTTTACCCTCTATTGTTGTAAAAAGTTACCTTGTTAGTAGTCACAACTTCCCAAGTTGAAGATGTTACTGTTGTATTTAAGCTATGTTATTTAGTTGTGTTAACCAGCAAAAGCTCTATTTACAAGATAAAAAACTAAATAATCACTGATGAATACTTGTGTGATTTATGAATGTAATTTTGTAAAAAAAAAAAAATATTTTTAACACCTTACTACTTGAAAAATGGTGTTAGTACAGAAAGAATGCTTTAACAAAATATACAGAATTGAAGTAATTTATTAGTGAGAAAAGATATTTTAAATGTAATGAAATAATAGATTATGAATTAAGCGATCCTTGAAACTCTTTCATAGATGATGTTTGCAAAAGAGTTTATAATTTTGTAAGATACAAGAAATTTTACTTGTAAATAAGACTGAATTGGATATTAGGTAAAATTAATAGTCGTTATTGTTACCTACTGGAAAGAAATATTTTATCTCGATGAATGTTGTATACAACCATGTATGAACAATAAAAAGCTAAATAATAGTTGTTTATACTTCTGTTATCCTACATACTCGAATTCAAAACTACCAATAATGATCAAACAAATTCTGTGAATCTACCGGCTTGTTATCTACTTTTTTGCAAAGGTAACTACTTGAAATAGTTTGGAATTTAAACTACTTTTGTAATAAATACATAAAGCTGTGAGTATTGTACCTAAATCTAAAAATCTTAATACATTCCTACAAAAGTGATGGGCACAGGCTAATCCCACCATTGGGTGTTCAGCGTTGTGGTAATGCCAAGCATTAGTGTTCCAGAGCAGATCTGTAGTTGTATTGAAAGTGTATTTTTTGTCAGTGTCCAAACCAGTGGATTTATGTATGAAAGAAACACAAATGCTTGAAATGGAAAGTCGTCCAAATCCCTAAAATATTTGCGTATCAAAGTCCGAGATGCTAACCATTATAGACTTAAATACCCAATCTTTTCAGACTAATTATTTTTTTTCTATATTTTGTTTACTAAATAAATAGACAAATTGCTTGGGTTGTGAGCTGGTCCAGTGGTAGAGCGTAGTACATCAGTCCTTGAAAATAGAATAGAATAGAATAGATTTATTGGTCATTTAGTTTTTTCACTATAATTACAATAGACTTTGTCAAGTTTATATCCTATTTGGTTTTTATAAGAGTGAGGTCCCGGGTTTATATCCTGCCAATCAGGAATGATTCTTATCTTAGTGAAAATTATTCTTACTGCCCAAAGCCTTGCTCCAAAACATTAAAGACATGGGACCAAACATTTAAATGAAAATACCTGACAAAAATAAACAGCAATATGCTAATGAGTTTACTCAGCCTGTGTGTGAAATGGAGATTATGAAGTTATGGTCAAAGTCAATTATTTTTCGCGTGGTGCAAAGATTAACAAATAAGAAACTTAATTTCATATCAGTATACATTTAACTTACATATTCTGTCTAAACAATGAATTAAATATTCATCTACCGCAATATATTAATTTGGTTAAAAACGGTAATTTGTCATCCAGAGCACTTAGATTTTCTCATAAAAATAAAGCAGAAGCGTGAAGCAGCTTAAGCAGCTTGCATATCGTTATCCCTTGTCTAATTTAGCAAAGCAGAAGACGGATTGCTGTGACTGTTGCTCATAACGTTAGATTGATGATAGCAATCTGTGTCTGTTTACTTGGGTTATTTGATAAAATTAAAAATATATTTATTCATAATAAAATTAAACTTTAGAAATGCCATCAACTCAAGTCCAATGATTTATTTTCACATAAATGTTTACAATTAATTGAACCAGCATAGCTGGGTAAACAGGGGAAATTTTCAAATTGAACTTCAAAACAACAAAAAAATAGATAAAGCAAGGTTTACAAGAGAATTTTGAATAGGTAAAAAATGACCATTTAGACAATCTGTACTCTATAATAAGCTTTATATATAAGCAACTTAAACATCTCTTTTTTTTTAACGACTCTGTTGAATGGATACATTTAATATGTACTGCAATTTATCATAAAAATTTTACCCATCTATTGGGGTGAGGTTACAAAAAACTGTCAATGTGTGTATGGACAGTTGAAAATAATTGCGGTTTCTGGTTAGGTAGCGAATGGTTAAAAATTTTCATTCATGAAAAAATTAGGTTTCTTATTATAAACATCAATGTTTGGAGAATTTGAAGGTAGAGTTAATATTTTTAATTCTTTAAATAATAATTAACATGACCGTCTGGGTCTAGGAAAAGTCATAATTCTTATAATCTTTTAGACCTTAAAACAGAATTGGCACCTGAGCTACTGCTCCAAAATTCTACATGTTATATTGTATTTACTTTTAAGGGAAATTTGTGTGACTGGTTAACACTTTGGGTCCCTGGAGTCATTGTTTTACATTGGCAAATTTAGTCAAGGTCTATTTATGAACAAGTCAAATTCAAATGATAACACAAGTTGTGGATGGACACACACTCACATAGTAAGTAGAAAGAAGCAAAATGCCTGATTTATAGGTGCAACTCTTGACAAACAGTCCAAATTTCATCCAAGTCGGTCACTGTTCATTATAAGATTGGCTTCTCCCACAACACTCTGGTACAGACAAAGTATGAGTTGTCCCAGACAGGAGTCAAACCCTTAATCTAAATGGTAACGAAGTAAATTAACTTTATTAGTAACTAAAAAACTTTTATCTTGAAGATAGTTTTATTTTATATTAAAACCAGGATGGAACTGAATAAAAAAAAATCACACACTGACACAAAAAAAAACATTGTAAAAACAAAAGAGTGAAACAATATTTATGAACAAACTTTCCATGGATACAAAGTTTAACAGAGTGAAAACAAAAACAATTGTTGATGTGGAGAACAATAACAGCTTTGTTGAGAGGTTTCAATTGTCTTCTCAAGTCTGCATTTGATTGCTGTTTTGTCAAAATGACAATCAGTTATAACTCTCGATTTAAGGGTGAGGTTAAATAGCTTGAGTTCTTTTGTTTTGATATTAATAGTCTTCATGCATTGAAATTGTAAAAAAGTATGCAGCATTAGTTCATATTCAATTATTCATAGTCTACTGTAAAATCGCTTTGTAGAATTTTTTTTCAAGTTCATTGTTGGTGATGATGAGTTAATCTTGTTTAGGTTTACATTTACCTTCACAATGGTAAAAAATAATACTTGGTTTTAGGAAATCTGATCCCCTCCTCAGGTGAAAATACTTAACACATTACAACTAACAACACACAAAAGGCCAACCTAAGTTGGAATACACTATACATATAATAATAATTATTTTAAGTTTTTGTAAATTATTGAATTTATAAAATTTGTAAAGTCGTAAAATCTTACTCGTAGGCCTACTGTACTTATTCCCCACTCATTCTAAAATAATAATTTTATTGGGTCACACGATTTTCCATAGACTAACCAAAACACGAAGTATGATTAATATTTATCTATGGCAATACACTTAACATAGGTATTCAATCAATCCTTCATACTATAAACATCGTCGACGAAAATTGTTTCTCTAAAGTGTTTAAGATTCAAAGTTGAAACTGTGGCACAAATTCAGGATGAGGTAGATCGTATAAATTGCAACTTTTGAATTATTCATAGTTCCAAGACAGCTGCAGGCCCAGCACATGACTTGCTTTAACAGTTTTACCTCAGATACTCCTATTTACTGTAAACACCTTTGGTTCCAAACAATGTCAAAACCAATCATTTATCACCAATAACATGTAGCCTAGTAAAAATGTAAATATGAAGTAAAATCGTAGAATTAAGTTTTAATGGCATTTTCTTGAAGGTCATGTTAATGGGATTCGACATTGCTGTCGCATGATTTCCTTGCCAAACGGCGATTACAAATGTTATTTTGCTGACAATCCGTATCTAATTTAAAACACCTTAAATGTAAGTACAAAACAGAAACATAGAGTGTCGATTAAACTATGTGTATTTTTAAGACTTGACTTTTTGGTGAAGCAGGTATTTATAGATAGATACATAAATAATTCTTTACAGTGAATATCAAGAGATGCATTCATATATGGACCTTTCCGATGCATGATAATATAATGTATTACACGGGACTATTCTTTAGAACACTATGATATTATTCATCACAATATCACGTACAATCGTACCAACATATCAAACAGTATCCTTTATTCGTGTACATACAATCTCTAAAACTAGTACAATTCTATTGCTGCAAAAAAACTACCCATTAAACACAAATTCAATCTGTACAAAACAGCAGTATCGGAGTATACACAAATCTCAGTTTCGAAAATCAGTTTTGATGTTTTTCACTATCATGTCAAACATCATACAGTAGTTTGAACGTTCCAATGTTTTCCTAGAAGGTTTACGTGTAAGTTCTGTAAATAGTTGGTAAAATATGAAAATGTAAACCTGTGTTTGTACAAGTTTGCATTATGCATAGCCTTCACGCGATGCAAATTTGATTTGTTAATTCCTTTGTTGTTTGAAAACAAGGAAGCGTTGGTGAAAAAAAATATTATGCTCAACTATGGACGTTTCATTTCATATTATATCTTTGCATAATTTGTCTGTGATAATATGACATATAACACTTATATGTGTTAATACGTTATTTACAAAAAATTTGTGTGACGATAGTATTATCGTCATACTGCAGCCATACCAGCTGTTTTCAATACATGCGGGTCTAAAGGGACTTTTTCTCTCTCTAGGGTTTAAAAATCAGCTGTCGTGAGCTTCGATTGAAAGCAATCGCATGCAACAAAAGCATGTATCTATTGTTTTAATTGGTTGTAATCTATCTTAATGTTGGTCTACATTCTTTTCATTTGGTTGGTTCGATATCAATAGTATAATGTAAACTAACAATAGACGAAATAATTAAATCTCTTTAATAATTGCTTGTTTATTAGTAAAATGGTGCAATTTGTCGGAAAATATTAAATTTTCATTAAACTTGAGGTCTTGTCAAAAAGATTAATTGTATTCCCTGTGTGATGCAGTATACTATTTACAGTATTTTCATGTTTCTCTAGATCACAAGAAACACACCAACCCCAGCTTTGGATTTTACAATAAAGAAGTCTACTTACTTGTATTTCCACTTATCTTTACAAAATTGTAATATTTGAATATAACTTTTACCAATTGTTATTTGAATTAAAAATCGTATGTTCTATCGTCTAGTTTAAGAAAACCCCCACACTTAAGGAATAAGGAAAAACCACTCTTAAATCCAATTATTTGTTACCACATATTTCGCTGTATTTTTTTCAAACTTCACGTTTTTATTAATCATTCAATAACAGCGATATTTAAACACAACATCCAACAATCGAGGGATTTCAAACTTTGTTTTAAAACAACGGTCAAACGAAGCGCTTACACACCAATCAGTACTTTCCGGGAACAAAAACTGTTTTGTTTGGGAAAACTTTTGTCGTTGTTTTGAGTAGAGTTGGGTTATTTTTCAATCTAAAACAATCCTCTCATATTTGAACACTTCATTTTACCGTCAGTTGTGGTGAAGTGAATTAACTACGTAACAATATTACGTTATATTTTTTACATGCTGTAGTGATTAACGGTAGGTAGCTCAATATATTGCTCAGGTTATAACTGTGAGTCAATAGTTATATTTTGAAAATTATAAGTGGTCAAATATATATATATATATATATATATGGTACGTAGTTTTTCGCTCAGTTGAACTTTAACCAAATAATCGCAATAGACACATCTCAATCAAACTGTTATACATTACTGGGAATTATACATTGTATAAGATTTGCAGTCAGTCTTTGACAATAAAAAACGTTGTTCAATTTAGCCACAGAAATGGTGTACTGTATGCTGTAAAATACAATTATTTTTCTCACACAAAACTTGTTATCAAATGCTCAACTGAAATGCCAAATTATTTAAAAAGGCATAGTGAGCGCCAATATGTATTTAGTTAGTCTTTTAAATGCTAATGTTTGGGTTAAAATACGCACCTACATGGCGTCCCCATCTCAATTGATTTAATATAATTGTTCATTGGTTTATCCACTGTGAACTATAAACTTTCTGTAGATCTAAAAACAATGTAAACAGTGATATGCTTTCAGTTTTATACCGATCGCAGTCAATATGGAAATTCAATATCGTCAATTTATCACGTAAAGTTCGGAGAATCGCATTACATAGACTAGATGCGGGGTTGAATCCCTGCACTGAAAGACCCTGTATAAAACATTTTAGAAGATTGATTTTGTATAAATTATTGTGTATTTGTATAAACTAGAAGGTTATTCAGATACTATTGTTAAATTTTCCACTACCAAATAACTGGGAATTTTCTTAAATTTACTACCATTATGTCTTTTTCCAGGTTGAAATGTTTTAATTATTCTAAAATCTTGTTTAGGATTTGGACATCAGGTTACGTTACAACTTAGGTGGTAAATCATAGGTGGAAATAATTTCATAACAATAAATAATTTATTGTAATCTATATAATTAATACGCTACATGAAACTTTGTCGGTTGAACTCCTCCGCCATTTCTTAGCCGATTTTATCCATTGACGTCTCATTGGAAAGAGCGTGTCGCGTAGATTTGCAAACTGGCCTTACATTTTTGAAAAAAGTCCCTTGGGCTCTGCCCCAGTGGCTTTGAAAGTTCCCATGTTATCCTTATGAAGAACATAATTGTTTACATTTTGATCAGCTGTATAATTTAACTGCTGTTATTTATTTTTCAATTCAATGAAACACATTGAGTACGTTTATTTACTATTTGAGTTTGTTGAAACATAACCCCCAAGACGGATCGTGTTAGTATGGTTGTATCTTAAATTTGTGTATTTATCGTTGTTTTGTGTCGCTATGACGGATCGTGTTAGCATGATTGTAACTAAAATTTGTGCATTTATCGTTGTTTTGTGTAATTTGTTTATTTTTTTTCTTTTAAATGCCTCCGACGTGACGACAACGAAACATGGACAGGAGGCGTAATCGTGATAACGACCGCAGCTACAGAGCATTGGCGCGTAACAGGTTTAACTCATCACAGTCAGTACCTGACCCTGGACAATCTCAACTATTAGGTTACAAATGCACCCTAACACTACCCCAAAACGACTTTTCGTTCTCAATTGGCCCTCTATCAATGACCTGTGTTGCCTGTACAGCGAGGTATTTTGAGAAGGAGAAAACCGTCCGGAATGAGTTAGGTTTATCAATAACGAAGATAAACACGGTATGAGTTAGTCTACTCACCGGTAATCTTTGAGTTGGCTATTCTCATTGTAAATATGACTGTTATTCGTTTTGAAATAAATCCTGTAACACTTTGCAATTGCTTGAATTCGAGCAACATGTACACTAGTAAAATAATAAAACATCAACATTTTCCTGATTCACCATCATTTTTAGGGAAATTTGAGATTCATTTATACAAATGATTTTGTTATATTGGTTGGTTATGATGATCTCATACTACAAAAATTGAAAATTATTGTCACCCAAAACATTGAAATGCATAAACCTTTTAATCAAACTTGTACTGTAAGCTAAGAATCAAACTCCACATAGAACTCTGCTGCACATTAATGTGAATGAGTTGAAGACAAACATAAGCAAAGTTTAAAATTCGAACCGTTAGAATATTCTTTTTAGACTTTATTGCAAAACAAGATTAATTGAAGAGAAGAATCAAAATCGCTCTCAACTTGAAATATTGAGGCAGGAATAGGACGAAGTGTTTAACAACAGCACGCCTGGTATTCCGGATTGCGACCATCTGTCTTGCAAGCGGCTGTTACTCCCTCCAAATCTCCGCCCTCCAGAACATCACCCGCCAAAACCTCCCTCCTACCCAGTGACCTCACTTCCCTCTGTAACGCCACTCTTGAATAAATACTGTGCTACTGTGTTGACCTGTTCTCATCATAGTAGTCCCTGCTTTATCATTTTAGATTTGAGATTAAAATTATTGTTAATTTAAACATGTATAGTAGGCCTAATTCTAAAGCTGAAAGTTTGTGTGTTTGATGATAAATTATTTGACCATGCAAAACAACTCAATGGATACTATCTTTGACTATTGATACAACACTATGCTGTCGAAGGAATCAACTTTAAGAAATGAATAAAAAAAACCTAATTACAGCTGTTTATTATTTTTCTTTTTGGGTTTGTTTATTGTATACGTCCATTTGTTGATAGGTTATTTCAACAGAATTAAAATTTTAGTAAGTTTTTTGTCACCCCACTTCAAGTTTAGTTATTTTACTGCTAGTTTCAACAACCATCATCTCATGCCGAACTTCCAAGAAATGTCCGGAATGGCACAGACAAAGGCGAAGAAAGTGAAAAACAACGATGAAAAGGCTGAAGTAAAAAAGAATGATGAAAAGGCTGAAGCAAAAAAGAATAATGAAAAGGCTGAAGTAAAAAAGAATACTGAAAAGGCTGAAGCAAACTCACTTTCAAAAGCGAAAACAACCACAGAAACGAACAATGATGTGAAATCCGTCGAGAAAACATCTTCATCTAAACTTAAACGAGAAGATAGCAAAAAAGAGAATAAAGTGAGAGAGGTAAAGGACGAAGATGATTTCGAAGCGAGATTAAAGACAGTTGGGGAAGTACTTACAGTCGTGGACTTCTACGCTACGTGGTGTAACCCTTGCAGGATGGTGAGTCAGAGATTCAACAGCATGGCTGAGGAATTCAAAGATGTCAAGTTCCTCAAGGTGAATATAGAGGAAAATGAAACACTGGCTGCAAAGTACGACGTCAAGACGTTACCTACCTTCGTGTTTATCAAACAGGGCAAAGTTGTGGAGACAATCGTGGGGTCTAACATGTCTCGGGTGGAGGACACGGTGAAGAAACTTAGAGGAGAATGATGAAGTCTGCGCAGGACTAAAGTGACCAGTAGGTGAGATTAAGACTTCAGAAATGTTTGTAACAATAAAACTTCATGGAATCAATGTAAATAGTTATGAATAGTTTCATAAATCACATGTTCTTCTTTTTCAGACCCAATGCGTCTGGACAGAGCGCTCAAATATATAAATCAAATTTTAATTAGGAATATGTCTCACATAAAAATTTCTGCCAAGATCCGTTAGCTACCTCAAATTTCTAAAGGCAAATTTGGTCAGTGTAGGTTAGCTTAGGATAGTTATTTAACTTTTGGGACTCTCAATAAAGGTATACTTTTATCAAAAATACTTAACAAATTAATTATTTCTGAAATTATTATGATCTGACCTAATTTGCATTTAAGTAGGTGTGCAACTCTTGGATTTTGACAGAGGGTTCAACGGATGTCAAGTCTGTAGTGTGATACGATTAGTCCCTCAAGTACCTGTAGTCTTGCACTGTTTTGCAGTGAAAAATCAATGCAATTCCAATGTTAGAGTTTTTGATGATCATCGGCAGTATTTGAGGAATACTAATATAATATTAAAAACGTCAACATCATATCTCTTAAAACTGCTACTGTGGCAAACAGAGTACAAAACGTATTTTTACTAATATTACTATCACAAATTATCACCAGAGAACGAACTACTGTGGTTTTATACAATCACGATTTGTGGATGTTTCGCTTCACCTCGCAAATCGAATGAGCAAAACAGGTTTGGTGGACAAATTGATCGAGAGCAGCGTATATGACGTTAATACGGTTTTATCGAAAACAAGGTTGGTGGATTTATTGCTTGCATTTTCACCGTGATGCAATCATCTGTTATTATGCTGTGCAGTTTCAAGTGTCTTTTAACCAACGATATTATTCAAATAAAACTTTAGTTAAGTTTTACAAAGAGGATGTTATTATAAATATAGCACAAATCAGTTTTATAGTTAACTGTATAAATATTAGATTTTTTCTAATTGTATATTTAGCACTAATATAAATTAAATATGAAACTTCCAAGCCAGTAATTAGAGCAAACCTTCCATAGAACTAATTGATTAATACAGCAGGCCTAGTTGCATTGACTGTAGTCCAAAATCTAAAATTTCCAAACCTAATTTGCAGCAAGGTAGTTTAAAAAGTTTTTATTTTAGACTGTAGGCATATTATAATTTAAATAAGGCTGAAGTTTTAAAATAACGTTTTGAAAAGTCTGGCAGTTGTTGGATATTAAGTCACCCCGTAATTCTTAATCCCAGAGTTTATCCTCAAGTCCGGATATTCTTCACCTTCTTTCTACGACCCGCAATTTTCTTCATCTTAAGTCAAGAAATTTCTAAAAAAAGACTTCTCAGAACTTAACTCGACAACAAAACCTTTATTAAAAAAAAAACAAAAATATTTGATTATAGTCCCAACACTTTTGTATTGGTAAAACAAACGTTATACAAATTGGGTCTTAATTTCTTTTTTTAATTTCATGACGCAAAAAGTTTGGATAAGGATATATTTGAAATTATTTTCTATATTAGTTAATGTTTCTAATTAATAGTTTTATAAATACAAGGAGGTAGATTTTACTGCTAAAATAATAAATGATTTTTCCATATTGTTGAACAGGCTTGTATCAAATGTATGTAACGTCCAACGCTATAAACGTGATTAACTTAATAATATTGTAACCTTTGGTCCATTTAAAATGTAATTTTTAAGACTTTTGAACGGTAAACTACTAACCAACTATCTACTGATTTCAAATTAATGTTTTTAATTTTTTGTAAGAATATTTTAGTCGTGTTCAAAATTATAACTACTTCATCAAAAATTCAAATATCTCCTGACTACCTCGTCAAGATAGCACAAATACCGCAGAATAAAAAAAGTTGTTTAAAATAGGCCTATCTGATTTTGAATAATACAATAATGCAAGAATTCATCTACTTCTTTATCTAATAACTTATAGGTAGCCTATCTATGCAAATAATGATTTATTGATTTTACGGAACGCTTTTATTGAAAATCAATGTACATAATTTGCGAAATGCTTTGTTGTTGCTATTGATTAACAATATTGGATTAGTTTACGATTCACCGAGTAATTCTTTTAATTTCTATCTAAAATTATTATTAAAAATATATATACCCACCAAACACACAAAATAAGGAACTGATGGTTTTCAACTCATTCTGAGAAGCAGTAAGGCATTTTCACCTGACAAGTGATAGAATTCCCAGGATGCTATAAAATATATACTTAGTGCTTCATACTTATTAAATTCTTTCCCTTATTTAAAAATAATAAAAAGATTAATGAATGTTGTAGGATGATTCAATATCTGAGGAATGTCGAGCTGAACCGGCGAAGTTTATTGGATACCTGACCAGCGTGAGGTGGTGGCAGTGACCCAATTTGGGCTTATGAACTTATCGAATCTAATTTGGTACAAAAACTGCATTCCATAACGAGTTGGTAACAGGTGTTTTACATAATTACCTAACAAAGTACGGCTGACGTTTAAACATTGAAATTCTTATCCATGATTTGTAAAACGGGAGGTTCTTGACGTCTTGGTCCTAGAATCCTTAAGCTACAACAGACCTAGAGTATACAAGTTCGGTACACAAGCGTGCGTTGAAAAATGGTGGTTAAATACAGCAATCGTGTAGAGAAGTCAGATATAAAAAGTAAACAAGAATAAAAATGGAAAAAGGAAATCCTACAAAAGCAATCAAAACTGTCACTAAAGACACAATCACACCAACGCAGCCCAAGATGTCGAGAGCTTCAGTAAACATAACGAATGCCAACCTATACAGCTATATTGGCTTGCAATGACTTGAGGTGAGATTGGTAACAGTATATTTCATCACTAGGGCCTAAAGTGACTCTTTTTGAGCCACGTTTTTGATGCAAAGATAGCCTCTTGAAACGAGTTTCAGCTTGCTTTCAATTCTGCTAATGCAAATAAGTAGCTGTTTAGTAAGTGGTTCAATTATTTCTTCTACTACGATTGTGTTACAGTAAATTATACCATCAATATCGATCTAGCGACTGACAACAATAGACTAAAACCTTATCTAGGCTAAAATCAATCGATAAATGATTTCGATCGATACGATTGTCACAATCAAAATATACAACTGTTTGAAACAGCTGATTTTTAATCCCTAGAGACTAAAAACGATTTTTAATCCCCAGAGAGTAAAAATGCTACTTTAGAACCGCAGCGCATGCATTTTAAAGGGCTGTTTTTGCTGCAGTGTGACGAAAAAATTTAGTTTATGATATTTTTTGTATACAGTGTGTAGATTAATACTTGAAACAAATCCGTATTTTTAAAACTGAAATAGATAGAAATATTCTGTCTGTGGCGTTGATTGTTAACAAAGGTTCCGTAATTTTTACATCAAAAATATTTTTAACTCCCCTCAGGGTAGGTGATAGGAGGTGACTTATTTCTTTCACATAGCAACCCCTATTGAGAGACCCCTCATTTTGAAGGATTTGTCAAAAGAAACACAATGATGCAAACCCGAGGTGCATATCTCACACCTAGCCAAAATGGTAGGTATTCCAAAATTTGATTTACTGTATGTGAATAAGCAACAGTTTCACAAATTGTGAAAAAAATCTGTTTTTTTTAAAACCGAAATAGATAGAAATATTCTGTTTGTGGAATTGGTTGTTAACATAGGCTCCGCAATTTTTTACATCAACAATATTTGTTTAACCCTTTTAACAGGGTAAGGGTTTTTTTTTAAATAACAACCCCTATTGAGTGACCCCTCATTTTGAAGGGTTTGTTGAAAGAAATACAATGACGAAACCCCGAGGTAGATATTTCATCCCTAGCCTAAATGGCAGGCATTCCAAAATTTGATTTATGTGAAAAAGCACCCATTTTGGAATAACCGCCATTTTGGCTAGGGGTGAGATATTCACCTCGGGTTTGAGTCATTGTGTTTCTTTTGACAAGACCTTCAAAATGAGGGGTCACTCAATAGGGGTTGCTATTGTAAAAAAATAAGTCACCCCCTACCCCCACCCAGTTAGGGGGGTTAAACATTTTTTTTTGGTGTAAATAATTGCGGAAACTTTGTTAAGACTCGATGCTACAAACAGAATATTTCTATCTATTTCGGTTTTAAAAATACAGATCTGTTTCAAGACTTAATTTACACACTGTATGTACATCTCATTACCTAACTTGTTGTGCCATTCCTCCCTGAAATGATTGTGATGTTTTGCAACAAAAATCACAAAAGGTTAGTTGGACTCGCACATTCCCAGGAGCTCGATAACAAATAGCTTCGAGTCTGACAAACATCATCTGTTTTGGTTCACTGTCTACGAGCGAGAAATACTTTCTGTAAAGTTTGTGAGAACTGGATACACCCAACTGTGTACTGACAAATTAGGTAAAGTTAGCGATACTCGTTCAGGAATACAGAATACACACAAATCGTGTGATGACAAGAACATCTTGTCATATCTTAATCAAGTTTCACTTACCGTTCACATTGAATAAACTAACCAAATAAAATGTGCGAACAAAATATTTATAAGATATAAACTAGTTCTGTTGTTTCATCTAAGTTTTTTTACATGTTCTCAACTCAATCAAATCCAACAGAACCTTTTGCAGATACTATTAACATTGAGTCCAATTATATTAATTTCGTTTTAAATTGTGTTGTTGCTAAGAATACGTTGAAACTGATGACAACTCATTGAACAAATTGATTCAAGTAACAAAATAATAATATTTTTAGACAAAAAAAAAACTAAAGTAACACCAACTAACTTCATCTCTATCTTTAGAAGTTTCTGATTCGACTTTACTAATTGAAATTGACCTACCTACTCTTCTAAGTGTGATTGAGTCCTTGAACTGTACAAAAGTTGGTAGCAAAGTTAAAATATCCCTCAACGCTTTAGTAAACAATAAATAAATCAGATCAAGGATTGCACAAATAAAACCA